CATTGTTGAACTGATGTCTCTGTTTCTCCTGACCTGTCTGTGTATAAATACCTGTCTGTTTGAAGAGTTTCTTTGCGAAGTATTGCCGACCTCACCCACTGCGTACTGAGCATTTATCTCTTTGTCTTATTTTCCAGAGTGTATGACCCGTTTCTCGACTTGTGACTTTGGATTCTCCTGTTTGATATTGTTGTCTCGGACTGGCTACTGTGTTAGTTTTTAACCTTCGCCTGTATTTGACTTACTCTTTTCAATTAGCGCCCATGTTTCTATTTTTGCTCTTCGTCAGTCTGACCTGGTTTGGCTTTGACACTCTTTTTGTTTGTCCACTCATTGTTATATCTGCGAGCATCAGTCAGACATTTGTTACAATGTTTTATAATGACTAAATTTTCTTAAAAGTCCTCACTGAAAGGTTTTTCCCCACACTGTCAAGCTGTTAAATAACAATGACACCTTTGTCATAGCTGTCAGGAAGTCTTCACCCTCAGGCTCTCTGTTCTGAAATCTTCTGGCACCTTTTATAACGCCTGTTGTCACAAAGCACCTTTAAAGAAGTCCTGGTGCAGATCTCTAATGAGCAAACCAATAACCACAGTCTCTAAAGAGGCATTTAGAAGAAACCTTGAGAAACCCTGATAATCGGTGGTGTCTCTTTGAACTGTGCTCCTTCTGCCTGATATGATGTTGATGCAAGATCATGCTATGATTCCTCTTTCTCTCTGGACCTGCTTGAACGTTTTGGAACCATCTGCATGAGCCGTTCACACACAAGTTGCAATGAATCTGTTTGGTCCAGAGATGCTAATGAATTGTCTACTACAACGTTCTTCTCAAACTTGTGACTGCTAAAATGTCAACTTCAAGTAGTCAGTAGTAGTTAAAGTGACCAAAACTGCCTTCTTTCACGCCTTCATCACATCCAGGTTAGATTACTGTAACGCTCTGCTTTCTGGTTGTTCCAGCCAAAACCTTAACAAGCTTCAGATAGTCCAGAACGCTGCAGCCAGAGTTCTCAGCAAAACCAGGAAATTTGACCACAGTAGCCCAATTTTGTGTACCTTACACTGGTTGCCAGTTAAATTCTGCATTGAGTACAAGATTCTTCTACTGACGTATAAAGCTCTGAATGGCCTTGATCCTCAGTACCTCAGTGACCTTATTTCCTATTATCAACCGACACGCCCACTTAGATCACAAGGTGCTGCTCATTATTAGTACCCAGAATAAATAAAGTTACGTCAGGGGGAGGAGCCTTTTCATACAACGCCCCCCAGCTTTGGAATAGCCTACCAGTCAGTGTTCGGGATTCAGACACAGCCTCCATCTTTAAGTCTAGGCTAAAAACGTACCTGTTTAGTCGAGCTTTTGGTTAATTTGTTTTCCTAACTATGTCCCTCTTATCCCCCCCTCCCCCTTATATTATACTGGGGGCGTGGACCCGGATTCTCTGTAAAGCTGCTTTGTGACAACATCTGTTGTAAAAGGCGCTATATAAATTAATTTGACTTGACTTGACTTGACTTGCCTTCTTATTGCCAAATTACATCCGTTTTTAAGTCAAAAAGAGGCTGAGAAGCTCATTCAAGCTTTTACCTCAGTAGACTGGACTCCTGTAATGCTCTGTTTACAGGTTTTCCAAAAAGTAATTTGAGAAACTATAGCTAATTCAGAATCTGCTGCCAGAATTTCAACCCAAACTGGCATGAAAACATATCACTCCTGTTCTAGCAACACTGCACTGGCTCCCTGTACCCTTAGAATTGATTTTGAAGTCCTTTTACTTGTATACAAAGCTCTTAACGGTTTACCACCTTCTGATGTCACTGAGTCTCTATTGCTTTGTCCCTACCTCAGGTCCTCCACAGCCAGTCCATTAGACATTCCCATAAATTTGGGAAAGCAGTCTTCCTCTACCTCGCACCCGAACTGTGGAACACTGTACCAAAAAGTATCAGAGAGACTCAGTGGACATTTTAAACCTAAAACATTCCTTTTTAATCAAGCTTACAAATTGACAAAATGCTCTTTTTTGTTAATTAATGTATTTTATCTATTCTTTTAATTTTTTGTTTTTATTTTCAAACATGTATTGTATACATGTTGTATTTTATTGTAACTTATTTTGTTTAAAAAATGGATAATTTTGTGCCCTTTTTCTATTATTACTTTTATTTATTGAATTTTTAATGAATTGTTGATCTATTCTTGATTATCCTTTTACTTTTCTTTCTGTTATTTACTCATCTTTCTTTTTTTTATCTTTCTCTGTTGCTTTTACTGTAAAGCACTTTGAGCTGCATTTAATGTATGAAAGGTGCTATATAAATAAAACGTGTTATTATTAAGCAGCTTTATAAGTAACACCCCCTCATTAACTCACTCCAATTTGTTTCTTGATGTTGTACAACTTGCTTTAATATGTAAGATGAGTTACTGTTTTAACTCGATTCCTTTTCTTTCCCTCTTTTAGGAACTTTTCCTGCTGCTGTCACCCTCAGCTGTTCACTGTGTGTCTGGTAAGATTCTTGTAACACCAACAACCTAACTGAGCATTTTGGACATCAGAGCTACAAAAGTATACTAAATTTCCAAAAGTATGTGGACACCCAAACATATCACTCCAAAACCATGGGCATTAATATGGAGTTGGTCCTCCCTCTAACATCCTCCACATTTCTGGGAAGGCCTTTCAAAATTTGCTTCCACTCAGCCGCAAGAGCGTTAGTGAAGTCAGGCACTGGGGTAGAAATGTACTGCTCTGTAATGTGTTTAGTGTTGTGTTGTATGTCATTATATTCTGTATTGTGTGTCTGTACTGTGACTGTATTTAGAACATTCTCTTCTGCCTATTCTTGTTTATCCCTACATGGTCACGTCTGTCACACCTGTCACTTGTCATATCTAGGCTAAGACTAATCTTGGCATCAGCCCATTGTCTTACAAGCTGGCTAGATGTCTGGTACCTGCACACAAACGAATAAACTTCACTTCTGCAGACATCAGGCTGGTTCCCCTGGTTAAGTCAGGGTTCGGATTCTTCACTGGTAATAGGTGCTAAGGCCTGGGTCACATCCCAAAAGTGATGAAGTTCAGGGTACAACATCCATTCATTGCTTTGTGCAACTTTACAGTTGGCACTATGCATTCAGGCAGGTACCATTCTCCCAGATTTGTAAGACAGGCTGTCAGATAGCAAAGTGTGATTCATCACTCCAGAGAGCACATCACTGCTGCTGAGTCCTGAGCACATTACCTTCAGGGACAGTTTGGCACTCACTTTGGAAGACACTGAGCTCTTCAGTGCCCACTCTGCTGTCATTGTTCATCTGTGGAGACTGCACATGTCACGGGAAGGTCAGGGAGCGGACCCAAGAGCAGAGAGGAAAACCCGTGGGAATGGGTCTTAAACAAAACTGATAAGTGGAAATATTGAAATATAAAATATGGACTTATTTATTCACCTTCTTGGTATTTCTATAGTATAAGGGGGTGTAATAAATAATGTTGTGGAGACGGTGAGTGTGTTGTGCACAGCTGGAGGAAAGTAACTCCCAGCTGGATTCAAAGCAGCGACCCTGGAAAACGTGCCAAACGGTGTGACTCAAACAAAGGATTAATTCATGAAACCACCTAAAATGTCCAAACCAAAACACCTTTTAAAAAGACAGATGAGAAGCTGACTGTATTATAGCCTTCGTTTTCCTTTTTTGTCTTAAATCAGCACATTCTCTCTTTTTTCTTCTCTCCCCCCCCCCTTTTAGTGTAGATACAAACCACTGAGCACTGTACCAGTCACCCCTCTACACAGGAGTAACAAGGGTGAGCTGTTTACCACAGCCTTACATGCCAGTACCAACAGGTGCGCCTTGCTGGCACTGATTAAACCTTAGTATTCAGAGATTTTGAGTATCCTGGAATAACAGTGCCTCGCTGCTGTCGCCCTCTGCTGGCAGCACAAGCTGTATGCTTGATTTAATGCACCTAATCAATTCTAGTGCATGTTGGGGAATCAGCCACCTTTCTTCTCATGGATTCCCAGTCAGACTGAGATTCATACACACAAAAAATTAGGAGACTACCTCTGTATCTCCAGCGAACTGCACATGAACAAAAAGATCAGTCTGGGTATCACTGTGAACTTCCATCATGCTTTGGTTCCGTCTGGTTACCCAAATAATCAGTCTGCCCTTTTGTATGCTAACACCACATTCATCAGTCCATTCAAAGTCCTGAGGGTAACTAGGTAATCAGGTCAAATATTTCACTTCTGTGTTTCCTCTCAGGTTGGTGGTTTTGGTTCCTTTAAAGGACGTGACTCTTTCCAGGAGGGGGCAGTCAGAGGTAGTGTCAGGGCAATTAAATGATTTTATAAATCTTTTTTCCTTTCTCTGCCTATTTGATCCACTTTCTCCCTTTCACAGTAGATTGTTGGAGACCAGAGAGGAAGGAGAGAACGTTCCTCCACTGAGAAAACTGTTCTTTCATTTCTTGCTAGCAGAACATGCTCCTGCGGATTAGTACGGTATAAACTGACCATACAGCCACACTGAGAAGTCTGCTGGCCTCAACCACAGTGGGATCCAATGAACATCACTCCGTCGTGGCCAGAGTGACGGGCTGGAAAAATGGATTTACAAATCCCTACTTTCTCTTTTTATTTGTAACATTTTCCAACTGAAATGTTATTTGTAATTGTATTGCTATTTAAATCAAGATTTAATACAAACACATTTTCATGGAACTGAGTTTAGTCAATAGAAAATAACTGTGTAGGTCTGTATTTAAATTTGAAAACAGTTATGGTCTTGAGAGAATAGGAGGAAGAAGAGGAAGGCCAAACCCACAATCCTAGTTCATAAAATACAGAGTAGAATGATGCATTATTTACCACTTTTCATTTTCTAATTTAAAGTAAGATTCATTTATTTGTGATTTTTCACTTTATTGCAATGAAAAGTGCTACTAATTGCACTAATAAGCAACACTCTTGAAAAAAATATTTGCATGTTAATTTTATTGAGAATCAATGTGAAGTTAAATAACAAAGTATAGATTAATCAGGGATAAAACATTTCATAATTGACAATCATTTTATTTTAAGAATAATTTTTAAATTTAAAAATTTAAGTTAGTCCCACTCCAATATTTAGAATCAATATAGAACAACAGATTAATTACGCTAAAATATTAAGAAACAAAATGATCAAAGACCTATGAAAAATACATAAATATTACTAGTATTTTTGATTGCATAGTAATAAATACATAAAACAAATCTAATACCTGTGAAAAATTAATTTTTAAATTAAATTAAAGTGCAGTATATTAAGAATATTAATACTCAGAAAAACATGGTGAGTAACTATAACATGGACATGGTTACAGTGCCCAGTGTGAGTGAAAGTAATGAGGCTGTTAGATGGTTATTGTAGTGTGTGCAGTGTGATGGTCAGAAGTCCTACACACAGAGAGATGAGCCACAGTCCTGAACCATGATGTACAACACCTGAACCTGGAACACACACACACACACACACACACACACACACACAAACACACACACATTAATGTCAGTTACAGCACTCAAAGTTCACTTCAGTTCAGTTTCTGTTCCTCTCTCAGTACATAATGGGCACTACGGTCACTACAATAGTAACGTGATATGATATGAGGAATATAATAACTGTTCCAGTGATGAAAATAAGGAACTTAAATCTTATCAAAGTGATAGCACATAACAGTGGAGAGAATGAAGTGGAACCTTACTCCTTCTGAGACTGACCCTTTTGAGGAACAGTGTCTTACCCTGAGCTGTAGCATTGACTGTGTAGTTGGTCTGAGTGATGGCGGTGTTAGTTAGTGGTGTCATAACATTAGTGATGGCTGCAGCTGTAGAGCTGACGGGGTCGTCTTTGCCTCCCACAAGTCCGATGTTCAGGGTGGCCAACTCCGTCTTGTACTGCTGAGAGATCCAGGACTGCACGGCTGTGGTGTTCTCAAAGAGCTTCAGGCTGTCCAGGTTCATTCCCAGTAGATCACGCACTGTGGTCACACTCAGGGCCTGAAACACGAGCGCAAATATAATACACTGTTGTATTGATGCTGTTTCCACAGATTGTTTTGCAAAGTACTGAATTTCCTCATGGATCCTGGTTTAAAACTAAAACTTGAGAAGTCTGATTTCTGCACCTCTTTTCATTACCTGGTATTCAAGGTCATGTCTGGGTGTTTTAACCCAGGTAAAGAGAAAACAAAGAGAACACAAAGGCAATTGTGGAACTCCCCAAGGCCCCCTCAGGCGAACAGGTGAGGCAGTTGCTTGGTTTAGCCAGTTATTACAGAAAGTTTATCACAGTCATGCCAAGATGGCAGAACTGAACATGTTTTATCACTTAAAAAGCTCTTGTTCATGAAAACTGTAAACGATGGTAAACAACTTTGATTTTTCACTTTTCATACTTCTATTTTCTAACATTGTGAGAAAATTCTATTTCTGTTGTAGACAACTGTATTATTATTTCATACCGTGAGCACAGCAGGGTTCAGACTCATGAAGGTGTTGATGTCCATGCTGACGTTCTGAGTAGAAAGAGCTTGTATATCATCCACAGGAGCTCCACCTAAACACACACACACACACACACACACACAAACAGACAAGCAATCTTAATTTAGGAAGACCTGTATGAAAACAGATAGTGAAAGAACCTGTATCCATTAAAGATCATAAACATGAACCCAGCCCAAGCTGTGCATGAGACAAATTAACTTGGCCTGTTTTATTAAGTGCTTTCCAATAGATTCTGATTCTTAGGGGTTATTTCACAAATCAGGATTTCTCAGTTAGCCAGATTACTTAAGCCCAGAGATAAGGATTGTCCAGTAGGAATGTCCTCCAGCTGTTTTCCTATTAAGCAAGCTTGACTTTGAGCTTAAGTTAACTGACTAAACCAAGAAAACCTGCTTTGAGAAACTACTCCCTGGCAACCGAATGAAGAATGAGGCTTTATCTGTTCGAGGACCCATTTGTTTGTTATTGTTCTTTATTGTCCAAGTACTCTCAGTCTTTGCCAACACCATTCGCATGTATGAAGAACAACACACAAGACAACAGCCTGGACAGTTCTGATCTTTGTAGAGACACAATGTTAATAACTGATCCAAGTAGGCGGAAGCTGGCCAACACTTCTACATCTTCACCATCAATGGCAAGTTATTGATGTTTCTTGCATCCTCAATCATCTTTCTCAAGTCCTGCTTCTCTTATAATATGTTCAGCACACAGGTTGGACAAGTACGGTCACAGTGGGCAGCAGTTTCAAACTCGATATGGAACAAGTCTGTTAGTCCATTTTCTGTCATGACTGTGGCTTATTGATCAGTGTTCTGCAGAGGTTCCTCATTACAGGAACAATGAGATACTCAGGACATCCTATAATTTCACCAGGTCAACACAGTGGAAGGCTCTGCTGTAGTCAATGAACATGTTGACATTCATTTTGAATTACTTGTTTTTAATTACTTGTTTTTTTTACTTAATCCTGGGATTATTTAGGTCCAGATGTGATCAGTTAATGTATTATTACATTCTTTTGAGGCAAAAAGGATGTTTACCAGCTAGAAGCAAAAATTATACACATCATGATTTTATATCATGTATAAAAATCATGTATATCAGGATAAATGTCACCAACTGGCCACTTCATTAAAACCACCTCCACTTTCTACACTCATGTCCATTTAATTAGTTCCAGCAATGTTCTGGACCCTCACAGAGCAGGTACTATTTGGGTGGTGGATCATTCTCAGCACTGCAGTAACATTGATGTGGTGGTGGTGTGTTAGTGTGTGTTGTGCTGGTCTGAGTGGATCAGACACAGCAGTGCTGCTGGACTTTTTAAACACTGTGTCCACTCACTGTCCACTCTATTAGACACTCCTACCTTGTCAGTCCACCTTGTAGACGTAGAGTCAGAGGCAACAGCTCATCTGCTGCTGCACAGTTTGTGTTGGTCATCCTCTAGTCCTTCATCAGTGGTCACAGGACGCTGCCCACAGGACGCTGTTGGCTGGATGTTTATGGTTCTCAGTCCAGCAGTGACACTGAGGGGTTTTGAAACTCCAGCAGCACTGCTGTGTCTGATCCACTCAGACCAGCGCAACACACACTAACACACCACCACCATGTCAGTGTTACTGCAGTGCGGAGAATGATCCACCACCCAAATAGTACCTGCTCTGTGAGGGTCCATGGGGGTCCTGACCACTGAAGAACAGGGTAACAAAGTATGCAGAGAAACAGATGGACTACAGTCTGTAACTGTAGAACTACAGATTAAAACTATATGGTCAGTGGAAGTCACTGCTCTGTCGTGGTCCATAACATTGTTGGAACTGATAAAATGACAATGAGTGTGGTGGTAGTATATTGTATAGCATTAGTCTGTGTGTAAGTTATGTATATTTACCCAGATAAGAGTTGATGAGCTGGTAGAATGATGTGGGGTCACTGCGTTGGGCGCTGAATGAGGAGTTGGCGATGCTGTACAGCACTAATTTCTGATTGATGGAACATGAGGATACATTCACAGAGTTTGCTTTCCTGCAGAAAATAAAAAGAAAACTTCAGATGGGTGTATTTTACGGAAAAGAGCTCTACAACTCAAATCTGTGATATTCCTACATTGGTTACTGGGTGTGAAACATCATGAAGCTACAGATGAGAAAGCACTAAAATCTGTAGACCAATGAGATCACATAGAACATCCATCCAATTCTTCAAACTATTTTACTCTGAGGTGATCACAGCAAAAACATGCAAACATTCCTGTTCAAAGTGTCATGTCTCATCAATATTGACTTGCAGTTCGAGATTAAGCACAACACAATTTGTAATCAAGCAATTAATCTGAACTGCTTTTTATTGTCTGTGATTGCTTTTATTTATGGATGCCCACATTTGCACATCTTTACTTGTAAGCATTAATAAAGTGCTTTGAGCTCTTGGAGAAGAAGCTATATTTAAATAAAATTATTATTGTCTTTTTATTGTATTATTATTGTCATTCTTGAATTAGCAAAGCAGCCATATGGAATGTTCATTTTAATATTATGTTGTGTACTTGGTCCTACAATAGAAAATTTGTCATTTTGCTGCCTAATTATGCCCAATTCTGGGAGCAGCAGTGTTGCCAGCAGGGCAGTGCCACCTAGGGCAGTGTGGGGAGGGGGGCTTTGGGTGCCTTGCCAGGGTATACCTGGTCAGTGGTGGGATTTGAGCCCACAACCTTCCGGTTGACGGCTCACTTTTCCTACCACCAGACTACTGGCTACTGGCTACCTCCTCCCCCACCCCTCCTCACCCCCCTCACCCCCTCACCCCACCTGCTAAAAGGAAGTCCTCGATATAACATACACATATCTGTGTATGTTATATAATTCTGATATGCGTGTACTTACCTCAGGCTGTCAGCAGTGATAGTTTTGAGGACGCTGACATCCAAAGAACAGAGGTTGGAGCCGATTGCATTTATCTCAGCACTTCCCAGAGTGTTACCAGCCACACTCAGATACCTCATAATCACTGCAGCACTCTACAACACAATCACAATCACAATCATATTAATCAGTTTTCATACAAACTTACAAAAAATCATGCAAAAAACAGGGTCCGGATTCTCCATGTTACCAGCTCCTCTTTACATATATCTGTGAAATCACAGCCAGCAGTAATAATCATCCGATACCTGTAGTAATGTTTCTAACCCACACTGCAACACCAAATATTCCAGTACATCCCACATACAAACACTTGTAGATGTGCTACCTGCTCTGAGGTCCAGTCTCCATTATCTGGGTTCATCAGAGAGGACAGTGTGTCAATTGTGGTGATGTTCCACTTGCTGATGTCATCAACAGTGGCCACACGAGATGTGTAGCCCAGTAGCTGCACCACACTCTCTGGAAGGCCTGATGGGTACAGCTGCAACACATACACATCCTGTCAACAACTCACAAACCACAACTCAAAACACTAGAATAGGTAGAACTTGATCACATGCATGCAGCATCATACAGACGAGTGACAAATTAGAAGAAAAACCTGAATAAATGAGCGGAGAAACATAACGAGTGCAGATGCTTTGAGACAAGTAAACTGCTGCTGATACAATTAAATAGCCAATGAGTAGGCCCAGTTGACCTCAATTTTGGATCAAGACAGCTCAAAGTGATTGTGAAAGAGATTGTTTTTGGACATTGGGCAGGAACTTCAGTCACAAAGACAACTGACTAGTGCCTCAGCAGGAACAGTAATATAATAAATAATACATAAAATTGGTATAGCAGCTTTTACAACATCAAAAACACTAAGACTTGGAAAAAGAAGTGGTCTAACGTTTAAGAGCAGCAGCTTCTGAAAGACCTAAGAGCAGCTGTTCCTCAGGTTACTCAGCAAGGACAGTCTATTCACATCTACATAGAGCAGGACATTACTAAAGTAGAGCTGCAGTGCTTAAATTCCTTGTTACAAAGGTGAATGACCATCAGAGAGGTTAATGGTGTAAAAACATCAACACTGGTCTACAGAAATGTGGAAAACAGTAATATGGTCAGATGAGTTGTCCTTCACCATATTCTCCACAAGTGGGCAAGCGCATGTGCAGCGTAGACCAAGAGGACATTACAGACCTGAATGCTTGACCTCTACAGTGAGGGGACTAGTGGACCCAAACCATGTAAGCAACTTGCCCCGCTTCCCACCCCACAGCATAACTGAGCCACTTATGTTGTGGGGGAAATTTGCTGGTACGGTTTGGGTTCAGTGATGCCCCTAGGAACAGTGCTTCTTAAACTATGGCTTGCAACCCAGTTTGGGTCGTGGATGTGTTTGTGCTGGGTTGCGACATAAGGAGCTGATAGCAATTAGCCAGTTTTAAGAAGCTGTAGTATATTACTTTTCTTTGGATAAATCACAAATATCTTACCAACAACTGTCTCCTGTGACAACTAAAACAATTAACTATATAATACTTGTATAGGTGCATTGAACATATATTGATACCAAACTGTAACCAAAGCCAAAAAATTATTACTTATAGCAATAATTTTCCAATAATTCTCTTCTCGGGCCCCCATTGGGTATCAGTTTTCTATTTTGGGATTTGGGTCACAGACTTTAAGAACCCTTGCTCTAGAAGGAAAGGTCACTGCAAATCTATACACTATTTACTCTGACTGATCACCTTTATCCTACACTGAAACATCTCTTTCCTGATAAAGAGTTGTCTCTTGGAGGATAATGCCCCTACAGGACATGAGGGGTCACTGAACAGTTTGGTGAGTGTGAAAATGATGGAAATTATATGTTACAGCCTTATCAGTCACCAGATCTCAACCCAGTTGAACACCTATAGGGAGACTCTGGAGCCTGCATTCTCTACCACCATCATCAAAACACCATTTGAATGAATATCTTTTGGAAGAACAGCGACCCATCCCTCCAGTACAGATCCAGTTCCTTGTAGATTCTATGGCAATGCACACTGAAGCTGTTCTGGTGGCTCAGGGTGGCTCAACACCTTACCAAGTCTTCTTTATTTGCTTTAATTTGTCATCGTCAACATACAAACCAACACACACTGTCAGTAAGTTCAGATTACTATACCTGACACACACAACCACTCAAACAACCTAATCAACGCTGTACTGTTCATACTGATATTAATGCTGACCTGGTTTAGTTTGTTCAGAATGACTGCCAGGAAGCTGGTGTCTATCACTTTCTCAGTGATGGCTGCCAGATTGTTCTTTAGGAATGTGTTGTCCAAACATGCATCAAACTGGGTGAAGTCGTAGCCAAGAGGGAATGAGGGATCTGCAATTGCTGCCTCTGTGATGTTGCCTGTAGTGCATGCTGTCAGACACAGAGAGAGTAAGAGGTTTTGGGTATAGTGGGAACCAGGAAAAAGAAGAAGTCACTTTCGCTATACTTTTTTTACTTTGTAACGAGGTCAGCTTCAATGCCCCAGGTAGCCACCAGAAGATGGTGCCTATCTAGAACTAATTAAAGTTGGTCACCTAAACCTGTGCTCTTGAGACTGCACACTCAAGTCCACATCTGAGAAGTCATAAAACTATTTCTTACAGAAAAGAGATTTCTTATACTAAGCTTGTTAGCTAGTTAGCTCTTACAGGGGAGTGGTTTATTTTCTGAAACTGTTGGATGGCCTTCACTTTAGTGCGAAGACAAATTCATTGGATAGTTTTTGTCTGTAAGGCAATAACTGGTCAGCTTCCTTCTTATTTGTCTGCATTCAAATCAACAAATAAGTCTTAATACAATTTACGTTCTAGTAGTTATATTCAGCTGGATGTTCCGATACGGCAAGGCAGCTTTTAGTTACAGAGCTCCAACTGCATGGAAGGATCTGCAGAAACATTTGAAATTGGAGCAGTTTATTTCCTTGAGCGAATTTAAGATGATTGTTAAACAGCTGTATCATTCTGTTTGTTCTTGTTTTTAGCTTGGTTTGGATCCTGATTTGATTCTGTTGGTTGTGGTCGCGTTGTTTCTTTGTTGATTGTTTTGTGTGCTGCCTTCTTGGCCAGGGCTCACTTGTAAAATAGATTTTTAATCTCAGTGTGATTACCCTGGTTAAACAAAGGTAAAATAAAATAAATAAATAAATAAATAAATATTAAAGAACTGAGAGACTTGGGTTTAACCCTGGCTTTGGATCACCAGCTTAGCCACAAGAGACATTCAGCATTGGTGGACTTGACAACAATCTACAACCCCTGTGTGTCAGTGTGTGTTTATACTGCAATGTGGTTACCTGTTATTGCACGTCCGCTGACTTTGAAATTAATGTTGAATTCTGTAAAGAATCTCCTGAACTTCAGTATCTGGACCTTCTGCTTCCTCAGCAATGGAATGAATGACTTCAGGAATGTTTTCTTTGTAGTCTTCAACACACAAACAGGAAAAGGGTTTTACATAAGACATCCAACTATCAGACAATGAGCCTTCAGAAAACACTTGATAAACAAAGGAGAATGAGTGCACAAAGTGGAAATAAACTATTATGAAATGAACAGGTTTACATACAGAGCTAAACTGGTCCCAGAAGTCTCGTTTGAGGTAGAGGGGCAGGATGCCCAGCTTGTTCAGAGTGTCTACATTCCATGATGAGCGATTACTGCAGATAAACACAATGTGTATATATAACAACAACCAACAGTATATAGTATAGTTTATTTCAATCATGCCTACAATCACTCATGTTGATATTGTGCTGAAAAATAAAACCATGGGTAAAACTTACAACATATTTTGAAACATGTTTCTTATTTCTACAGCTTTGTACCATAAGCACAAAACATATCTATATCTATCTATGTATATCTATATATATGTATGTAAATGTATGTAGTTTAAGGTCTTTCTCACCCATAAGGAGTGTTGCCAGAGTAGAGCAGCGTCTGTACAGGCGGTGACCTGAGAGTCAGAAAGGTCTCCACAGTTCTTCAGTTTCTCCAGGATGAGTGGGTCAGAGTTCTGGATGTAGATGGGATCCAGTGTGCAGACCATATTACCCAGAACCTCCACCTGAGACCTGCTCAGACTTACACTAGATATACCCTACAAGAGCACAGACGACAGAAGAGTGTGAGAAGGGCTGAGAGTGTGCTTGTGTACAGAAATCAGTATCTATATTTAAGAAAGACACAAAGGATGCACAATAAAAGACAACTAGGTTGTCTTACAGTTGTAGAAACCTGAGCTCCAGTAGGAGCTGATTGAGGCTTGAAAAAAAGTGTGCACATCAATTCTCGGAAGAGGAATGCATCAATATGTTGCAGACCAAAGGACACTGTTAAGGGACGGCAGGGAGGCGGACCCAAGTGCAGAGGGGAAAACCCATGAGAAAGTGTCTGAAATGAATTTATTGAGGTGATGGAGTGTGAATTTGGTGATTGTGCACATTGGAGTTGAGGTGGCTCAGAGCCAGACTCGAACTGCCGGGAAGCACAGGCAACAATGGGAAAAACACCTCTACGAATGGGAAATAAAAAAGGCGGGGAAAGGGCAACAAAATGGGGACGCTGAAAGCACAGAGACTTCATGTTTCACCTGTTTGGTGTTTGTGGAACAAACACCTTTTGTATGGCTTGGAGCCATGCGTTGCTCAAGGCTTCTTTTGGTTTTTTAAGTAACTTTGGGACAATTTCCTTCTTTTGTTGTTCCCAGCCTTCTTTCCTTTCTTTTTCTTTTTATTTCCTTTTCTTTTCACTTAAATATCCACCTGGGCTAAGTACCGTACCGGTCACCCCTCTACAGAGGTGTGACAAAGGGCTGGTGTTTGTCACAGCCTTAAGTAGTCCACAGGTGTGCCAGGTTGGGCCTAATCAGCCCGAGGGCTTCTGGGAATTGGATATCCCTGAACTTATGGCATCTCACTGCCGTCACCCTCTGCTGGCGGCTGGCTGCAGAGGCTGGGCCCTTACAGACACCTACTGGTATGAGGCTGCATACTGTTGTGCTGGTGTAACTGTAATATTATGTATTTACTTAATGCTGCTGTAGCAGACAGTGCTTGGTATACACAGGGGCAGCCATGTGGGTGAGCCAGAGGATCAGAAGTAGACTAAAGACAATGAAGTACATCTATCTTTAATATTAATAATATTATTTATGGTTTCCAGTTCCCACAGTGAGGGGCGACACCTCAGTGGGACTGTGAGCAGAAAACATGGGGATATGAGCATTAAAAAAAGGTGCAAAGCTGGACTATAATTTGAGTTTTTTAAAGATCTAGCTCAAGTTATTTTTAAGCCCTCTTTAGCTCACTCCTTGTCTGGTCTGCTGTGTTCTCTGAATTACCACAGTTACACATAAAACTTACTTGTATCTTCTCTGTTGTTGCCTGAGGAAGAGTTTTGACTAAGAATTCACCCCGACAGTAAATGTTTTGTAGCTTGACTGGTGTGCCATAGCCTTTCAGTGCCAATAAAGTGTGTAAACATTTTGAAAACATAAACATTGTGAAAACACTTTTCTTACTTTAGCATTATAAGTGGTCTCTCAAGTTTTGAGATACTGTGTGGGTATGCAAAGGTATATGTTTTACCAGGCAGTTCTGTGCATTCTTGAACAAGATGGACTGTCTGCTGAGAACACTGGAAAGAACCGAGAAATCTGCTCCAGCCAGAGCACCGAAATATGACTTGCAGTTCAACTTCTGCACCTTTTCATAGCTGCAACGCACAAACACAATAACACATAACAGATAAACAGAATCCACAATAGTATACATACAACCAACTAAAACAGACACATTCGGTAAAGGTTGGTAAAAGAAAAAGATCATTGAAAAATTTTCTTATGGTTAATTAGCTTAATAAGTCTCCCTGTCTAAAACTACAATTAGTCCAAGTCTCCAAAACTACAATTAGACAACACCTCCATGCCAAAGATTTATTTGAAAGGCATGCCAGAGCTTTTCCTTTCATCTAAGCACAAACTAAGCGTGTGGACTTTGCTAGATGCTACTTGAACTTTGGAACAGGGATCTGTGTTATTTAGGCCTGTTTTTCCTCCAAAGGTCCTGGGAACCTTGTTAGGATGCATAGCATTATGGACTCCATGAAGCACCAGGAGATTGTAAATGAAAATAAACCTGCCTCTGCCAGAAAAACTAAAACTGGGTTGGAGTTAATCTTCCAGCTGGACAATGATCCAAAACAAATGTCCAAATACACACAAAATAGACCAGCATTATAGGAGGATTAATTGCTGTTATGTTAGCAAAGGGAGTAACACAAAGTGCTAAATACAGGGGTGCCTATAATTTTGGTTTTGGTAAAAAATATTTCTGACAACAGTTTTTGTTTTTCTGAGATTAAATTTACTTCATTTTTCTTTACGTCTTTAATGTGAGATTGAACTATTGATGAAAAAGCTTTCTTCTGGCACTCCTTGTAATAGTTTATTGGCATGAAGGTGGCAGTTCATAAACTTGTAAATTAATTTTAGACTCTGATCACAAACACAATATTTTTTGTAATTTAACAGAAATAGTGTTTTCGTTCAAAATGGCACTTTCTACAACTGCTAAGCGTCTGTTTGCCTGATAGTCACTTTAGTATTGAATGCATGTCTAATGCAGAATAAGCATCGTGTATGGATAAGTTAATAACTACAACCCTCTTCATGTTTTCTTTAGTATAGTTTACATACAGACAGCAGTGAATACTGTGTTTGTGTTACACACCTGTAGTAGAGAAGCATGTCAGAAGGTAAATCAGTGAAGTTCAGAGATGAATCGTCTTTCATGTAGTTGTACATGCAGGTCAGCTGCAACACAGAACACACTAAGTTACATCATTGTCATACTAGACATGCTCTTTCACATCCTCCTTCACTGACTCCAAAATACCACCTCACTGTCCCAACCAGTACTAATCTGAAGTCTCAAAACAGTAAGACAGTCCTAAAAATATGACTGTTTTTGGGACACTGTCCTGATGACACTTAATTCTGGAAAACACCATCGACTATAAACACCAGCCCACTGTAGATCAACCTCCCTGAGAAGATGGGCTTTTAAACCCAAGCTTTCACATTTTAGCAAAACAGAACCACTAGAGCCTTGCATGACTGGCAGCATGGCGTAGCTGTAGTTCAGCTGGTGCTGGCTCTGAAGAAGGCAACCTTACAGACTGACTTTGGTCTCACTCTGGCAGAGCAGCAACCTACTTGGCTCTAATAGTGGCAATAAACAGATGCTCTATGCAGCAAATAACCACAGCCAGCATGAAGGAACAAGTGGCCAGTTGGCATCACCAAGAAAGAGGAAGCCTGAGTGCTTTGGTTGATTTTCACTACTGCACACTACCCATAAATCAATGCTTCCACCCTTAAGAAACCAATTGCTTCTTGCCTTCTTGTAGGCATTCACGTCAGAACATCTAAGACAGGACACTCATCTCATCACATCTGGGGCAGTCGTGGGCTGGAGGTAAGAGAACCAGCCTTGTGACAAGAAGGTCGCTGGTTCAATCCCCTGAGCCGACCGTACGTGAATGAAGTGCCCTTGAGCAAAGCACCTAACCCCCAACTGCTCCCCAGGTGCTGTGGATAGGGACTGCTCACTGCCCCCTAGTGTGTGTGTGTGCATCCACTAGTGTGTATGTGGTGTTTCACTGCACTTTTCAGACCCTACTGCAGATGTACGCCTGTATTTAATCGGTAGAGGACAATCAATGCAAAACCAGCCACCACTAGTTGCACAAACTGGTAGTGTTAGAAGCCTAATGTGTATGTGCACCCTCTTTTTGCACAGCCTTCTTTGAAAAGCATATCCATTAGGAAGAGAAGGGGATTGATTTGCATTTTAGCTGTCATATAGCCCATAAACTGTGCGTTTAGGCTCATGTGCCAGTTTCAAGCACAACATGTGAGCAGAATGTGTCTGATTTTTGCCTAAAACTTGCACAAAAGGCTCAGTACATCAGGCCTTAATATCAGCAGAGTGTGTATCAGACTGTATGTACCTGAGACTCTTTCAGGAGGACCTTGCTCCTGCCAGCACGTGATCTACAGGCTTTCACCAGCTGTATGATTTTCTGCCGTGGTAGTTTCTGAACTGAGCTGCAGGTGAATCCCTGCAGTATTGATTCTGACAGCCTGCAGGGGGAGACACGTGCACAATTAAAAACAAAAACCTGTAAATTTTAGTACTGAAAATGGCAATTAAATGACCAATGTGACTAGACAACCAAAGACTCTCGCATTTTCTGCTTTGTTTGCGTTCACTCACTCTTCTGCATTGTCACTGGCGCTGGCCACTGAGCTGAACAACACCACAGCCTAGAAAAAGAAAACAAACAAAAAGACATTTAAACATTTATTGGATTTTTCATACTTATACTTCAAGCAGTGTTACATCATTGCTACAGAAAACAACGTATTTTGAGTGCATGTGTTCTGTTACCTGTTCTTGTCTCCAGCTCTTCTTGTTGATGAGTGTAACATTAACAGAGGTGGGAGATGACAGTAGCACAGGTGGGATATACCCTGCCAACGCATCTGGGACATTCTCCACCACTTTAGTCTGGTCTACAGAGACAATCTGGGAGACAAGGTGGGAGAAGAACTGACTGATGAAATTTTAGTTGATTTTCTTGTAGAGTAAACTTTATAAGATTCTTCAGAAATGAGACAGCATGCATGGACTGGTTGACTGTGATAATTTCTAGATGTGTCTAGCAGAATTATTTGGATTGACAGAATTCTGTAGAATGTGTGTACTTGTCTATGAATGAGTACCTTCTGGACGTATGTCTGTTGCAGAACCACTGGTGCTGACAGAATGTTGTTGATGAACGTTGGATTCTGGGATACAGACAGAAGCTCAGTGGATGAGATGTTGGAGAGGACTGCTGAAGGAACGCCTCCTATGAGTGTGCCCAGGGTCACCAGGGAGGAGCCTTTGTTGATCTGTCAATCAGTAAATCAATTCTGATTAAATATTCAGCCAGTCAGCTTTAATTTGAGGCTATGGACATTAGGTCAGAACGGCAACATCTCTGAACAGCAAGTAGAGATCTGGTATTATAATTTGGCGGAAATGTAACTCTTCTATTATAGTACTCCTAAAATTCATTTAAAGTATGACTTGATAAATGAAAACCTGTATACAGCTACAGCATCTGCCCCCACAGTCAGAAACATCTTCAGAAAAGTCTTTAAGCCCAGATTACTGCATAAACAAATGTTGATCGAGAAACATGTCCTAATTTAAGAAATCATGTTCACCCCAAATCTCTCCAGGACATTATGTATATAAAAGGCTGTAATTCCTGTATGGTTTACCTGATACAGAGAAAAAATACTACTAAATTACAGCTAACATTCTTAAACCTCACAGACCTTGTCTATTTTTATATCCAATGTGCTGGTGGATAAAGCTAAAACAAAACAAATAAAAACTAATATTTTTGGACTGTACTGAAGGTAAGAAAATTGTGCAGGATGTAATTGCTTGAAGTTATGTACCCCGTTTTTAGATATAACAAACACTCAACAGACTCTCAGTAACATCAACACCATATCAATGATGTAGCACATGTGAACCCATGTAGATCATCAAGAGACTTCCAAGCAGGTAAGTAAATAAAATTGGTTTCTAATCTGCTTCATTCATTGAATTCATTTCACATCTGTAGATGTTTAACCGAGAGGAACTGAACATTAACAGGTTTAATAAAGACCATCACCATCCTCAACAAGCTGATACAGACACACAGACACCATCCTGTACCTGGAGACACACTGGATTAGGGTTTGGCTAAGGTTAAGGTTAGGATTAGGGCCACTGTTTGAGTTAGGATTAGGTTTTGAGTTAAGGTTAAGGTAGGGATTAGGATTAGGGCCGACGTGAGGGTTAGGATTAGGTTTTGGGTTGAAGTTAAGGATTGGGTTTAGGATTAGGGCCAGGGCGATGGTTAGGGTTAGGTTTTAGGTTGAGTTTGGGGTTACTTTCAGGATTAGGGCCAGCGTGAGGGTTAGGATTAGGTTTTGCGTTGAAGTTAAGGATTGGGTTAGGATTAGGGCCAGGGCGATGGTTAGGGTTAGGTTTTAGGGCCAGGGTGAGGGGTTAGGATTAGGTTTTGTGTTGAGGTTAAAGTCAGGGTTAGGGTTAGGGTTAGGGCCAAGGTGAAGGTTAGAATTAGTTTTTGTGTTGAGGTTAAGGTCAGGGTTAGGATTAAGGCCAGGGTAAAGGGTAGAATTAGGTTTTGGGTTAAGGTTAATGTCAAGCGTAGAATCTTGAGGCACACCATAATTAATATCTTAATATCTTCTGAAGTAATGGACCCACACTAACAAAATATATTTCAGGTAAATGTGTACAACCATCATAAGACAGTTTTAGAAAAAATCTGTATAATGTACACTCACGTTAAACCCTGCAGTAATGATGCTCTGGATGATGTTGTTGACCTGACCCTGGTTCCAGCCTGTGATGACGCTGAGTACTGGCAGGGTACTGTTAATGACACTGGGGGTAGCACCGCTTATCTGGCCCTCAGTCAGACCAATGCTCTGGTTGCCGAGCGACTGGATGGTGTCCGTGGACAAAGTGGGGAAGTTTGCCACAAGAGCTGCTGTGACCTGAGTGAAGAGGAGGATTATGGGCAACTCACATTATTAGAGAAAGACTGGTTAAGAAAGAGACTGATCACTGAAATGGTTAAAAAATTGGCTCGATTTACCTCTGGACTAATTTGTTGGCAGGATATTCTGATACTCTCAAGGATGGTCTGGCTGTCTGCAGCTCCAAGAGACGCAAACATGGAGCCAGGAGCTCCACACAAGAGCACACCTGGCAATCTAAACAAAAAACACAAGCTCAAACAGATAAACACCTATATGTACATAGACACAAACAGATGTACAAATAAGTTAGGATTCTGGATGTATAGCTGTAGTATTTAGTTTGTAGTGTGGTACCTGAGGGGACTGAGGTTAGGATTCTGGATGTATAGCTGTAGTATTTAGTGTGTAGTGTGGTACCTGAGGGGACTGATGTTAGGATTCTGGATGTATAGCTGTAGTATTTAGTGTGTAGTGTGGTATCTGAGGGGACTGAAGTTTGGATTCTGGATGTATAACTGTAGTTATTTAGTGTGCACTGTGGTACCTGAGGGGACTGAAGTTAGGATTCTGGATGTATAACTGTAGTTATTTAGTGTGTAGTGTGGTACCTGAGGGGACTGAGGTTAGGATTCTGGATGTATAGCTGCGTGCTGTAGTATGTAGTGACATCGGCTGCAATCCCCGAGTTGTTAAACAGCTGAAGATTCTCTGAGTTTTCCAGAAACACACTGATCTACAGAACACAATCAGACTCAGTAAGTTATAAAAACATTATGTGTATGGTAGTGTGTGTACACCATTTACTAGTAACATAAATAATTAACATTCAAAGTAGCATGTACACGTGTGTGTGTGTGTGGGTTTGGTTGTGTTACCTTGCTGTCTGATACGAAGGACTGGAGGTCAGTGAGGGAGATAAAAGTGATGAAGAATCCAATGTTGTTAGCAAACCATGCAGTGGAATTCAGAAGAGGATCAGAGGAGTTATAGCAGCGGGGAGAGCCATCTGGAAGGTACCACAAAAACACAGACATATACTCTACAGTACAGATAAATATACAGTAAAGACACAATGAGGAGAAATGTAGCTGTGCTTACCGCTGCTGTTCAGATAAGCCTTTATAGAGCTGTACACATCAGCTGGGGTGAAATCAGTGGCTGAGTAATTATAGTTCTTCCCCAAGACTGACACCCTGCTCATAAAATACAGTAGTCATTTTCTGCAGAAATTAACTGTTTTAAATAAAAAGATGTCATTATTTGTGCTCAAAAAACATTTTAACGCTGCAATGAACAAAGACTCACAGTTTCCTGTATGACAGGCAGGAGGCGCTGCTGAGCTGGGTGGGGCTGATGAGCTGAGAGCTGAGGAAGGGCAGGTACTGAGCCAGTCTTACATTAAACCACTGATCCACCTCATCCTGAGACGAGGCGCTGAGAGCACGAGACCAAACGCACCCCAACGTCTGTCTGCCCACAGCTGCAGATACAACCGGCTGCTGCACAGAGAAACAGATGGAAAGAAGAAGAGAGAAGGAGAGATTTACATATGGATCACTGCATTAAATAACTCTCAGAGAGTGAAACTGAGTGAGAAACAGCAGAAATGAATGAAAGAAAAGCTGTACCGTCTGCAGGTACTGGTTGGTGCTGTTGTAGTTGTTGAGGAGCGTGCAGAGATCTGACCCGTTCCTGACTGTGTTCGGCCCATTTAAAAACTCATACAGTTCTTTCGGAGAGATGGAGCTCAACAACTACAGGACAGAGAGGAGAGCAACACAGTCATTATACTGAAAGAGATATGTGGATACATTCTCACCATTACTGACTGTTTAAGTCATGGACCATTAACTAATGTATTACTGAATGACTCATTGACTGTATTTCTAGCTGAATCCTGCATTTTCCTCAGCAGTACCTCTTGCTGTCGGTTGGCTGGTATAACGGACAAAAAGGCACTCAGGTCAGGAAATCCAAAACTGAGGAAGGAGTTCTTGAGGAAGACATAGAAGCTCCCTCCACCATAGCAACCCAAACTATTTGGCCCTGTGGAGCATAAACAACATAACAATCAAAACCAAATCTCAATGTGTTGACTTTTTTGTTTTAATTAGTTCTTATTAATTTGTGAGCAAAGGGCATACCTGTAAGGAGTTCCTGGATGTTGCTGTAGATTTGAGTCTGTGTGTCGCTGTTGAAAGATGATCTCAGAGAGTCCAAACTGCTCACTCTGTTACAGCACAGGAAGAAGTTCATCACAGTCATGCTACACAAACAAGACACACACTTCTTCCCTCTCTTTTACTTTTTACATAGGCCCATATTAAACATTCAGCAGAAACAAAATGCTGCATTATTTCTGCTCTTAGAATATTAAACATAATCCTAGAAACATTAATTGTGTTTCTGAATGTGTTTCTTACGCTGCCTGTCTGGTGTTGCAGCTCCTTCCTTTTATGATGTTGAAGTATGGTGTTACATCTGCGGCAGAGAGGCTGGAGAGGAGGGGCCTGAGCCGAACATTCACCCACTGCAACACTTCTGAATCAGGCACTGCTGAAGAGGACAGACCACCTCTTGCCAGAACAGCCTGGAGGAAAGCTCCCTTCACCTCACTGGAGTACAGTGATGCATTCAGCTGAGATAAAGAGATTTCATCACACAAACAAGGAGAAGGAATTAGAATTACATCACGAAAGTCTACCGGCTCACCTCTGTTCATCACTCAAACCGGCATCGCATTACTGGACTCATCATGCCTCATATTTACTCTTGCCTTTATCTTCATAGTGTCTGTTTGCAAAGTTTCTCACTTTGCTTGCAGGTTACCTTCTCCTGTCTCCTGTCTCCTCAGCACTTCTAGATTTGGCACGTTAGGCAACTTTATCAGCATTGACCTGGTACACACTCTCCATATATCAAGTTGTCCCCAGTAACCACTCGTTTTCATACAAGTTCTAGATGGCAGATTGGTCACTTTGATCTCCAAACTTGTGTGCCTCAAATTAAAGGCCATTCAGCACCACAAGGTGGACACTATGAGTACCTCATTATGCCGTTTGGTTTGTAAATGCACCAATGGCCAAAGGCCACAACTGCGAAAAACTCCAAAAGTTCTTGAGGTTCGCCCATTTTTATCAAAGACGTTCAACAGGAACATCGGTACTGTGGCAGCCCTACTCACATCTTCTTTAAGTGGACATATCTGCAAAGTGGTGAGGATGGACAAAGTAACTACTGCCTTTCTCAATTTCAAGGTACATTTTAACACAGTATATTCAGAGTTCTGGTGGCCTGCTATGATCTGATATGATGTGAGTACCTATGGTCACTTCTGTTCAGTGCATGCCACCATAAAATCACTATCCAAAGCTCACAAAATTCAGCCCCACTATAGTCCCATTCCTGATAACACAAGAATCACAAACATATATCTCTATTTTGTTAGAGACCTGCCTACATTTGACAGATACACTATCCTACATGTGGTTGTCAATAGAGTCATGCCACATCTGCTTTTCGTCCATGCCAACAGACCTCCATGTGGTTGAGGCCATGTTCCAGCAGGTATTCTGAGTATCTTGGTCTTCCTGAGGACATTGTTTACAACCAGGGTCCTCACTTCACCTCTCAAGAAAGTAGACGGACTGGGGATCTCTGTCAGCCTCACTTCAGGATACCACTCAGGCAAACGTACTCATAGGCAGTGGATCAGTTAAATCAGCAGTTAGGAAGGTTTCTGTGTATCTGATGCAAGCAGCAACATGAGTGATCTCAATTTCTATGTGTACAGAGACAACACACTGAGGCACTCTTCGAATGGATTAACACCTTTCTTAGTGTCACCCCAGTGGCCTTTTCCCAAGGAATCCAGTCCAGACAGCCGATCTTGTGGTTGATGGATTATTTCTGCAGGTCTGAAAGGGTTTGAGAGGCTTCCAAAGCACAGCTACAGAGAATGGTTTGATGGCAGAAAGAACTGGCTGACTGCCAGCACAGTGTACCTTTCATATCTCATATTTTCTCCATCTGCACTGATCACAAGGGATTGGAACCTCCATCTGCACCTGAGTTTGTCAGCCTCTGCCAGCTGCTGTTTAGGGCCAATGTGGCTTTCTATATAATGCAGTTGCCACAGAACTATCTTCTGACTTATCTATCTGTACCTAAGCTTGAGACACATGGTTCTTCTGTTTACAAAGTGAAGATCCTTCTAGACTCCAGGCATCACAGCTAACCCTCAGCCTGACCCGCTGACTGATGTGCCATTTCCATGTGCACTGTCCTGTTCCTTGCAGCATTCTGAAGCTGGAGTCATTCATCAGGTGGGAGATTCTATTGGACTCTGCGAATTTTACTGCCTCTCTATGGCACTCTGCATTGCTGGTCTGCTGATCAGTGGCTCCTCACTGCTGCTCACCTGCATCACTTTACTCAGTTAAGTACTCAATCATATATACCCCATACTTTCCGTTATGTTTCTTCATGAAATTTGTGAGTTTCTGAGTAATTTCTGCTTGCTGTGTATTCTCAGGTGTGCAGTGATTAGACAAATCTAGTGCATGCATTCTGCATTTTCCAATAGGAGGAACTAAAGCACAACCTCAACCTAAAGAAAGAATGAAGGACTGAATTAGTTGACTCCAAAGAATGGACAAGCATCTGCTGAGAATTGGTAAGTACCAGTATGTTGGGAGTGACGATGTCAAAGAAGGAGGCAAACTGGTTTGGGCTAATGGCTGCCATCACAGTGTTTACATCCTGAGGATCATGGAGTTGAGAGGGGTTGGAGCAAAGCTCTGCCAGCTGAGATGAAGTCAGAACCTCTGCTGCCTTCACCTAAAAGAATGAGAGAGAGAGAAAGCATGTGTGGGATGGAATTAGAGACTGAGAGGAAAGAACAATAGCACATATTTCATAAAAGGAGACATTTCAGGTACTAAAGCGAAGAATTTGAACAGCAACTGTGTTACTATTAAAAACCCAGTTCAGAAATTCATAATAATCACAAAACAGCTTTTATAATCTTTTGTTTCTTTGACTGTACTATCAGAACACTTATCAGAATGTGTGGTGAAAGTTGTGTAACTCACCCCATTGAAATCACTCTTGAGACTGATGATGTCAGAGAATGAGGCGAAACTCCTGAATTGGCCAAAATTCTTCACCATCCAGTCAGAGTCATTGCTCACTGACTGCACACAGGACTGACCTGAAAAACGGGGTTATATTACTTGGACCACTACCTCATACACACAAACAAACAAACAAATAAGTACATGCAAACATTTAACAAACCTTGGCTGGACTGGTACTTGAGGTAGTCCACTGTGTAACTGAAGACAGTTTTGGACTGTGTTGTAGACAGATCACTGTACACGTTATCAAGTCCTTTGACTCTGCAAACCCAACCACACAAAAATGAATTAATAAATGACACTACATGGAAGTGCATTGTGTGGATATGCCTATATGTATGCATATGAGGCCTTTTCTAAATTAAAGTGTTTATTCCTGTAGACAAGACTGTGCATGCAAACACAGACATGAGTGCATGTAGAGTAAAAACTCACATTTCCCTGTAGGAGTCGCAGCTGATGTTCTTGGGAATGACTGACAGGGAGCTTGGACCAATCCCAGGAAGGAAGAGATGGAGATAGGTCTGGAACCACAGGGCAAAGTCCTGTGGGCTGAAGGTCTGGGAATTGGCGCACCAGAGCTAGCAGTGTCATGTTCAGAATAGGGTCTGACACTGCTGTAGGGATTCTAGTCATGTTCATCTGAAAACACACAGCATTCTGGGTGAGACAGGCATTAAAAGTTGATACACTGGACAGCATCATTCATTGTGTTTAGTGGGATTATTGTGTCTTTCAAAGCTTAATATATTCATTTTTGAAAGGCTATTAAAAGTATGTGCCTGTTTGTGGACACAAGATGAAGAACACCTGTACATGTCAGCAGATCAAAGATACTCACCTGTACTGCACTCTGGCTGAAGGATGTAAAGAAGGTGTTAAGTTGTTTCTGATCTGAAGACTTGAGCACACTGCTGAACACCTCTCTAACCACAGACTCATTTCCCATCACTCCTGAACCTGGCTGCAGGATCAACTGTGCCTTCTGTTCACCGGTCAGTACATCTAACACCGCCACCTACAGGACAAAACATGCACATCATATCTTCTTTAGTTACTGAAGGAGGGGTATTCCACAAAGCAGGATTTATCCTAAGCCATAAATAAGGACTGTGATATATTACTAACTGGTTATCTTTGATGAAAATATTACTGATATGAAAAATAGCGGTAAAATGTACTTGTTAACTGTAGAAAAAATTACCATAGTAAAAATAAAACAAAAACAAAGTATAAACCAAAAGTATAATATACAAACTAAAGTAGAACTAAAAACAAAAACTAAACAAAAATCAAGAAGTAAACAATTTGGTTTTGTATTTTCAGTGCATGAAGGGAAGTTTAGAATTGGACCCCTTATGGGTTTTTAAAGAAACTTGCAGCCTAGTTTTGCAAATTCTCTTGTTGTGCAACTTTAGCATTGATGAAGGAGCAGCCTTCACCAGTACTGAACAGAACTAAAGTCCAGTTTGGGATTACTCTGTATACAAGCTGGTTTCTGACTGAAGCAGATGTTTGAAAGGAGCAATGCTAAAAGGAACACTAAAAAGAAATAAAGGAAACCACATTTTGAGATGCTCCCTGTGTGCATGAGGGGATGCATCTGAACATCATAAGTCTGAAGACATATTGATATAAATGCTGTTAGAGACAAAGGGGTCACTAAGACTGTGAGTATGAGTATATTACCTTAATGAATTATGTTTGTCAGTTTATACATATAAAAATTGTGTTTGAGTTGTAACAAACATCACTTGTAGTGCATAGTTTTGTAGTTCACATTGAAATTGTGCATTATGAACTGCTTATCCTACCATTGTCAAACACCTTCTAGCACAGCTTTCACCATAACGCTAAAAACTAAAACTGAAACTAAGTAAAAACGTGAACTCTTGCTTTCCACAAAATAAACACTGAACTAAAACTACTAATGCTCCAGTAAAAGTACAAAGACACCGTAATCAAAGACAAAACTAATTTAATTTTCGAAAACTATAACAACCCTGCTATGGAAATTCTCCTTTGTAAAAAAATCACACAGATCGACTGAGCTGTGCTTAAAAGCAATATAAGGACGATGGAATGTTGCGGCTCTCTTCAATAAAATTTTATGACACTAAAATAAAACTGCTGTCAGATCAGTGTGCTCTTCGAAGTGAAAGAGGCTAATTTACCCCAGAAATGTTGAACTGTGTCAGCTGAGCGTAGGACACATAGCTGGAGAATTGGCCGAGGTTAGCAGTGAGCCAGTCTGCATCCATCTGGACATTCACTCTGCAGGCTGCATATGACAAATGAATGTTATGTTAGCAAAGCTTGTAGTTAAGGAATATTGATGTTGGTTTTCACTGTGTCTAGTGTGATGGTACTGACAGGTAACATACCTGGTTGATTAATTTGTTGTATGTATTGCTTCAGGTGTGCCAACAGAACAGCCACAATTCCCTGTTTTACATTTTCTGGCATTTTTGCAGAAACACTGCTTAATCCCCGAACACTGGAAGGAAAAGAGAAAGCTGATTTTAAAAGAACAATCAAAGGTACAGAGACACAAAAGTGCACAGGAACAAGACAGCAATCAAGTCACCTGATGTGAACTGACATAATTTCGTAAAGCAACCTATGTTGTGCACCCAGTCCCCGCCTCCAACCCCGCCATTGTAACAGAGTCTTTTCCTGTAATGCTTGATGCCACTAAAGAATACAGAGCAATGAATCTGAAACCACTCATCAATACAAAATCTCTTCAGATTAAAAAAACTTAATTATAAGGTATTTGACCCATTTTAGTGTAGACTTTGACAAACATTTTGGTTCTCTATATACTGGAAGACTTAATGGAGTGCTTCATGCCATGTACCGTAGGAAGGGTGCAACATCTTTAGAGGAAAAACAGCCTAAAAACTTGAGAGATTTTCCACCATACTTACCAGGACGGATGAGGCTCTGTTCTTTATAAACATCCTTCTTTTTATGCCACTATAATTGTGACTAGCAAACCCCAGATGCTCATATTTGTGGTTAGAGTTTGTTGGTATGGAGGTGGCATCTAGCTGTAATTTTAAAGACCTACTGCAAATCTCCCATCATGGTCTTTAGAGAAATGTTTGTCTCACTAAACATCTTCCATATGGTGGGCAGGGATAAAATAAACATGCAGGCATATTCATTATGGCTCTGGTGGTTTCACACTTTTAATTATTTTCAGGTGTGTAGCCATTGGCTGATTCATGCAGGTCAATGGACATATTTAATTTGTGTATTTTCTAATTTTCCCCATGTTGATGAATGATGATTAAGGGAATTTGGCCTCTGTATCACCTCTTATTTATAACCCAAGCCATTTTTTCCATGATATTATCTTACTCATCTTTGCCAAGGGTGCCAATAATTATAGAGCTGACTGCAAAATAGCATATTTGAATGTTAGTTTAATAATGGAATGTTCCTTTAAACTCAGTATATCATATGAGGACCAAATTTATTTAATGTGTTTTCACAACCTAAAGAAACAAATGTCTTTAATTCTAACTTGAACTGGACAAATGAAAGATACCAATGCACTCACATCACTCGGTAGTTAGTGCAGTTGGTGTTGCTGATGGTTGTTACTAGCATCTCTGCAGTGAAACTAGGAAGGACAGGGTTCAGCTTGACCTCAAACCACTTGATCCAGTCAAGGGTTTCAAACTGTGGAAACTCAATGCTGATGATTTTAAAGGTTCGCTTCATCATCACATCTCTCACAGCAGGGATGATATCGGCAACCTGCTGAGAAACAATGCAACAGGTGGGAATGGTACTTGAGGTGAATGCCTCGGGTCAGGTCACAGATGCCACCCTACTGCAAAGCTTGTTTGTGCTACAGATTCAGATAGTGTAAGCATGTCACTTACCTCCTGTTCAGTGAGGGCTGTGAAAAACTCATCCACATTCTTGAAAGCATCGCCTTTCTCTAGTCGATCGAACACCTGGTCCATCTGACTTGTGCTGTTCAGTGCTCCAGAGGTCAGAGTGAGTTTGGCTGCTTGGCTAGGGGTCAGCAGGTCCAAAGAATCTAACTGCAACATGACACACAGACCAGTGGTTAGTGCCCAGGCCGACACATGACATTAAACCCACAGTCAATGTACAATTGGTGCAAGTCTGATGTTACTCACGCTGGAGAAATTGGTATTTAGACTTTGAAGTTGTTTCAAGGTGACATAAGCAGAGAAGTTGCCAAAGTTCTTTTGCTAGCCAGTCACTGCTGCCAGAAGTGCTGGAAACACAACTGGGATCTAAAATCGTAACAGAGGAGCAAGCAACACAATCAGAACATTAATGCTTTCAGTTAGTTAAGTGTCACTTTTGATGAAATAACACAAATATCCTTAAAAAGGGAAAACTGGTCAACTGTCAGTTAAAGTAACATTGCTGTTTAAATACCTGACAGGTCGTCTCTTGAGAGGAAGGGATAGATGAAATCAGTGACGACAGACATTTTTTGATTCTCTTCCATAAGTGTTTCCTGCATGCTAAGAGCTTCCACCCTAAGTTGGATGAGATCATAAGTTGTGATAGACTGCTTGCATTTTCTTAAAAAACTTAATGCCATAAATCTCAGCTGTGACATTCCACTAGCTATACTTACACAACTTGGTAGGTCTGACAGCTGAACTTCTTGGAACTGAGACTGGAAAGGAAGTCTGCAGACACTGATGACAAAAATGGTCTGAGCCTCATCTGGAACCACTTGGTGATGAAAGTGGTATCTATAAGCTGTGCAGCACTGAAGTTGTTGATTTTCACTTCACCGATTGCATCGAGGACATATGGGTCAGGAAGACCCGTGTTAAAGGTCTGAAAGAAGCAGTATATATTTAATATATGATTCAAAAAATTGTTTCTTACTTACTAAGTGCTAATCAACAGTACATACCATGCTGGAGCACTTATCCAGTGCTTCGTCCAAAGACACTGAAAATCTCTGGAAGAAGAGCGTCCAAATTTCTTTGGAGTAGACCATGTTGCTTTCGTAATTTGCATGTGAGAAGTGTGGTCAGATCATTGGAGGACAGAGCAGCAACCTTGAGAGACAAGAATGTGCAAGGAAAGACAGAAAGAGAGGTTTATGTAGTTGAGTAATTGGCATTCTGTTACTTAAAAAGGGTTTGACCTATGGAGATATGTTTTGCATCCAAGACTCACTGATGAACAGGCATAGTCAGCGATACTGAAGTTGCAGAGCACTGCAGAGAGACTTCCTGACAAGAGCTGAGTCTCAAGCAGATGACTGTGGAGGAAAAAAAATTATATATATATAAAACATCAAATACATTTGTAAAATATCATCTCTTAATGTTTCCCACTCAAAGCTCACCTGTCTACACCTTGACAAGCATTTTTTGCTGCTGTGGTAGCTCTGTTAGTGATGGCAGTAGTGGTACTGAGGCCAAAATTGGCAGAAGATGCAATTCCAGTTGGGGTGGTGATGTTGAAACTAGCAATGGTCGTGGAACCAGTGCTGATAGTGACAGTGGTGTTGACAGTGGTGGCTGTTATAGTTTCATAGTTGGTAGGGACGCTGGCAGTGGTTTCAGTGATGCTGGTGTTATGTACTTCGCTGATACTGACAGTGGTCATGGCACTGTAACTGATGACAGTGGTACTGGCAGTAGTAGGGGTGGTGGTTAAAGCAGTGGAGTCATTATTAGTGACTGTGTTGTTGATATTTCCATTTAGAGTGTTTACAGTGGTGGTGTTGACACTAGCTGTGATTATGGTGAAGCTGGCACTGGCAGTGGTGTTGAAACCTGCAGTGGTGTCGAGGCTTGCGGTTGTGGTGTTTGTGTGGCTGGCAGTGTTGCCAACATTGCCATTTGTGGGGCTGACAGTGGTGGGGCTGAAACTAGTAGTTATGATGGTCGTGTTGGCACTGGCAGTAATGTTCAGGCTTGCAGAGGTGGCATTTATGCTGGTGTTGTTGACATTGCTAATTATAGGACTGACAGTGCTGGTGTTAGCACCTGCCGTGATGATGGTGGTGTTGGCACTGGCAGTAGTAGTAGCAGTGATGTTGAGGCTTGCAGAGGTGGCATTTATGCTGGTGTTATCGACAATGCTATTTATAGGACTGACAGTGGTGGTGTTGACACTCGCAGTGATGATGGTGGTGTTGGCACTGGCAGTAGTAGTGGCAATGATGTTGAGGCTTGCAGAGGTGGCATTTATGCTGGTGTTGTTGACATTGCTAATTATAGGACTGACAGTGCTGGTGTTAGCACCTGCCGTGATGATGGTGGTGTTGGCACTGGCAGTAGTAGTAGCAGTGATGTTGAGGCTTGCAGAGGTGGCATTTATGCTGGTGTTATCGACAATGCTATTTATAGGACTGACAGTGGTGGTGTTGACACTCGCAGTGATGATGGTGGTGTTGGCACTGGCAGTAGTAGTGGCAATGATGTTGAGGCTTGCAGAGGTGGCATTTATGCTGGTGTTGTTGACATTGCTAATTATAGGACTGACGGTGCTGGTGTTAGCACCTGCCGTGATGATGGTGGTGTTGGCACTGGCAGTAGCAGTAGCAGTGATGTTGAGGCTTGCAGCGGTGGCATTTATGCTGGTGTTATTGACAATGCTATTTATAGGACTGACAGTGGTGGTGTTGACACTCGCAGTGATGATGGTGGTGTTGGCACTGGCAGTAGTAGTGGCAATGATGTTGAGGCTTGCAGCGGTGGCATTTATGCTGGTGTTGTTGACATTGCTATTTATAGGATTGACAGTGGTGGTGTTGACACCTGCTGTGATGATGGTGGTGTTGGCACTGGCAATAGTAGTGGCAGTGGTGTTGAGGCTTGCAGAGGTGGCTTTTATGCTGGTATTGTTGACACTGCTATTTATAGGATTGACAGTGGTGATGTTAATGCTAGGCTTAACAATGGTGGTGCTGGCACTGGCAGTGGTGTCGAGGCTTGCAGTGATGGAATTTATGCTGGTATTGTTGATATAGGCATTTACGGGACTGACCGTAGTGGTGCTGACATTAGCAGTGCTGGTAGTGTTGGCACTGACAGTAGTAGTGACAGTGGTATTAAGACTTGCAGTGGTGGCAGTTATGCTGGTGTTATTAACATTGTTATTTATGTTGTTGACACTGGCATTTATTAGGCTGACAGTGGGGGTGTTGAAGTCTGTAGTGACGGTGGTGCTGGCATTGGCAGTAGTAGCAGCATCAAAGCTTGCAGTCGTAGCATTTATGCTGGTGTTATTGCTATTGCCCTGTACAGTGTTGCCAGTGGTGGTGTTGATGATAGCAGTGATAATGGTGGTATTGGCACTTACAGTGAGGGCGGCAGTGGTATGGAGACTTGCAGTGGTGGCATTTATGCTGGTGTTGTTGACATTGTCATTTATGTGGCTAACTGTGGTGGTGTTAACGCTAGCAATGTCAATGGTGATGTTAGCACTCACAGTAGTAGTAGCAGTGTTGAGGCTTGCAGTGGTGACGTTTATACTGGTGTCATTGACACTGACATTTATAGGGCTAATGGTAGTGGTGTTGACAAAATCAGTGACTATTTTGGTGTTGGCACTGGCAGTAGTAGCTGCAGTGATGTCAAGGTTTGTGGTGGTGGCATTTAGGCTGCTGTTGTTAAGACTGCCATTTATGGGGCTGACAGAGGTGGTGTCATCACTAGCAATGATTATGGTAGTGCTGGCAGTGGAACTGGCAGCAATATTGAGGCTTGCACTGGTGGCATTTATTCTAGTCTCACTGACATTGACATTTATGGGGCTGACTGTTGTGGTGTCGACAAGATCACTGATTACTGTAGTGCTGGCATTGGCAGTAGTAGCTGCAGTGATGTGAAGGCTTGCAGTGGTGGCATTTAGGCTGCTGTTGTTGATACTGCCATTTATGGGGCTGACAGAGATGGCATCAACACTAGCAGTGATCATAGTGGTGCTGGCAGTGGAACTGGCTGTAACGTTGAGGGTTACAGTGGTGGCATCTCTGCTGGTGTCATTGACATTGACATTTATGAGGCTGACAGTTGTGGTGTTGTCAAGATCAGTGATTATTGTAGTGCTCTCACTGGCAGTAGTAGCTATAGTGATGTCAAAGCTGGCAGTGGTGGCATTTAGGCTGCTGTTGTTAAGACTGCCATTTGTTGGGCTGACAGAGGTGGTGTCATCACTAGCAGTGATCATAGTTGTGCTGGCAGTGGAACTAACAGTGATGTCAAAGCTTGCAGTGGTGGCATTTATGCTGATGTCATTGACATTGACATTTATGAGGGCTGACAGTAGTGGTGTTGACAAGATCAGTGATTATTGTAGTGCTCGCACTGGCAGTAGCAGCTGAAGTGATGTCAAGGCTTGCAGTGGTGGCATTTAGGCTGCTGTTGTTGACATTGCCATTTATGGGGCTGACAGAGGTTGTGTCTTTACTAGCAGTGATCATAGTGGTGCTGGCAGTGGAACTGGCTGTAATGTCGAGGCTTGCACTGGTGGCATTTATGCTGGTGTCATTGACATTTATGGGGCTGATACTAGTGGTGTTAACAAGATCAGTGTTTACTGCACTGCTCGCACTGACAGTAGTAGCTGCAGCGATGTCAAGGCTTGCAGTGGTGGTATTTAGGCTGCTGTTGTTGAAACTGCCATTTAGGGGGCCGACAGAGGTGGTCTCATCACTAGCAGTGATGATAGTTGTACCGGCAGTGGAAATGGCAGTGATGTTGAGGCTTGCAGCGGTGGCATTTATGCTTCTGTCATTGACTTCAACATTTATGGGGCTGACAATTGTGGTGTCATCACTAGCAGTGATCATAGTTGTGCTGGCAGTGGAACTGGCTGTAATGTTGAGGCTTGCAGTTGTGGCATTTATGCTGGTGTCAGTGACATTGACATTTATGAGGCTGACAGTTGTGGTGTTGACAAGATCGGTGACTACTGTAGTGCTCACACTCGCAGTAGTAGCTGCAGTGATGTCAAGGCTTGCAATGGTGGCATTTAGGCTGCTGTTCTTAAGACTGCTGTTTATGGGGCTGACAGAGGTGCTGTCATCACTAGCAGTGATGATAGTGGAACTGGCAGTGGAACTGGCAGTGATGTCAAGGCTTGCAGTGGTGGCATTTATGCTGGTGTCACTGACATTGACATTTATGGGGCTGACAGTAGTGGTGTCGATAAGATCAGTAATTATTGTACTGATTGCACTAGCAGTAGTAGCTGCGGTGATGTCAAGGCTTGCAGTGATGGCATTTGGGCTGGTGTCATTGTCATTGCCATTTATGGGGCTGACAGAGGTGGTGTCATCACTTGCACTGATCATAGTGGTGCTGGTAGTGGAACTGACTGTAATGTTAAGGCTTGCAGTAATGGCATTTACGCTGGTGTCATTGACATTTATGGAGCTGACAGTTGTGGTGTTGATAAGATCAGTGATTATTGTACTGCTCGCAATGGCAGTAGCAGCTGCAGTGATGTCAAAGCTTGCAGTGGTGCCACTTGGGCTGGTGTCATTGACATTGACATTTGTTGGGCTGATTGTTGTGGTGTTGACAAAATCAGTGACTATTGTAGTGCTCACACTGGCAGTAGTACCTGCAGTGATGTCAAGGCTTGCAGTGGTGGTATTTAGGCTGCTGTTGTTGAAACTGCCATTAAGGGGGCCGACAGAGGTGGTGTCATCACTAGCAGTGATCATAGTGGTGCTGGCAGTGGAACTGGCTGTAATGTTGAGGCTTGCAGTTGTGGCATTCATGCTGGTGTCAGTGACATTGACATTTATGAGGCTGACAGTTGTGGTGTTGACAAGATCGGTGACTACTGTAGCGCTCACACTGGCAGTAGTAGCTGCAGTGATGTCAAGGCTTGCAATGGTGGCATTTAGGCTGCTGTTGTTAAGACTGCCATTTGTTGGGCTGACAGAGGTGGTGTCATCACTAGCAGTGATCATAGTGGTGCTGGCAGTGGAACTGGCAGTGATGTTGAGGCTTGCAGTTGTGGCATCTCTGCTGGTGTCATTGATATTGACACTTACAGGGCTGATAGTAGTGGTGTTGTCAAGATCGGTGATTATTGTAATGCTAGAATCGGCAGTAGTAACTGCAATGATGTCAAGGCTTACAGTGGTGGTATTTAGGCTGCTGTTGTTAAGGCTGCCGTTTATGGGGCTCACAGAGGTGGTGTCATCACTAGCAGTGATCACAGTGGTGCTGGCACTGACTGGAGAATAAACAGTGGTTTTGATGCTGGTAGTGGTTGTATTAAAAATAGTCTGTGTGGTAACATTCAGATCAGTGCTGTTGATAGTGGTGGTGTTGACACTATCGACTGTGGTCACAGTTGTGTTTGCACTAAAAGTGCTTTTAGTACTAGAATTAATGGCAATGACAGTGACACTGGAAGTGTCAGTGCTGTTCAGGCCAGCAGTGGTGGTAATACTACTTGTACGGATGCTGGCAGAGGTAGTGATTGTGTTGGTTGCAGCTGCAGTAGCAGTGACATTTGTATCAACACTGGCGTAGGCATTGTTCTCATTGTTGGAAGCAGTGGTGCTGGTGCTTGCAGTGGGTACTAGTTATGGTGTTGTTATAATTATTACTGTCTATGTTGACAGTGTTGGTGACGGGTACAGATGTAGAGATGATGACATCAGGTATACCCAACAGCAGGTCAATATTCAGGGTGTTCAACTCAGACTGTTTCTGCTGTTTCTGCCAGGACTGAATCACAGAAGAGTTCTCAAACAGCTTCAGATCAGCCACATTTGCCCCCTAAGAGATCACGCACTGTACTCACACTCAGGGCCTGAAACACAAATACATTTTTGTTTCAGTATAAAACCCAGTTCTCAATATGTATTATTTTAGCTCTTTATTGCATATTGACTAATACCAAAAATACATTTTATTCTTTTGCTGTTTCGCACCATAATGACATCAAAGTTCAGACTTAAGAAGATATCGATGTCCATGCTGATGTTCAGAGCAGAAAGAGCTTGTATATCCTCAAGAGGAGCTCCACCTAAACACACACACACAAGTCAGTAAATAGAATATACTTTGTTTCCAAGCTGAGTGAGTAACTCAAAGAAACACATAAAAGTCCCTTTACATATATAAAGAAAAAAAAACAACAGAATTATGAAGTGGAAAGTATTCACATAGCACTGTTGTTTTTTTTTATTTGTCATTTTCTGGAATATTTGTTATGTTTTATAAATACCTCATTATATTGCTGTTTTCCATAGATTTTAAGTAATCAAATCTGTGAAAATGTTGATTATGCTTTTAGCTATTTCATACTACTTTGTTTCTAAAGCACATTTAACAGTGCCAAACTCTTGAGAGAAATTGTGTAAAAAATTACAAATCCATTAATGGTCTTACAACAAACCTCAACTGAGAAGATCCAATACACTATTTATGTTCCACTTTATTTGGATAGCCCCAGTGGATTATCTACAGATGTTCAAACTGATAACAATATAGCTGGTGATTCTCAACACGGTTGAATTTCAGCAGTGTAAGGGTTAGGAATTGGACCAGGGTTAAGAATTGCACAAATTAAGAAGAATTTAACAGATAATTTGTTGGATAATAGTTAAACGCAAAGTAAGCATCTATAAAGCATCTACAATTTCATCCAAATACAGTGTTATCATTAAACTTTGTTTTGGTTCATTCAAACATTCTGTATTTTCATATATCTTAAATATTTTCTATGTAATTTTTATCTTTTTTATATACCATTAAACTATATGTCTTGCTTTTAGGTCAGTATGCGCACAGAAGTTTTTATTGTGCAAATTAAAAAACTGGTACGTGGTAAAGTTATTCTACTCTAATTTCTGGATTAATTTGAATCACAGGTAAGTACTGATGAGTTTTATGGATGTTGGGCACTGAAAAAGGACTTAACTGAAATGTGTTTGTTTGTGAGTTTGCATGTGGGTGTTTTACCCAGGTAAGGGCTGATAAGTTCGTAGTATGTTGTGGGGTCGCTGAGCTCAGTGCTGAATGAGGAGTTGGCGATGCTGTACAGAATTGATTTCTGATCAACAGAGCACGAGGATATATCCAAACCATATACATTCCTGCACAGAGAAGAAGAAAGAAGGCTGCATGTGTACTTCACCTATACAATATGCAATAGACCACACATGATATACAACTTATGAAGCATACTTTAGGTGCAGGTCTGAATATACGTACCTGTCTACTCATGGGCATATGTGTGTGCTGGTGTACTTACCTCAAGCTATCAGCAGTGATGGTTTTGAGGACAATGATATCCAAAGAACAGATGTTTGCGCCGATTGCAAATAGTTCAGCACTTCCCAGAATGTTACCAGGCACACTCAGATACCTCATAATCACTGCAGCACTCTACAACAAACAATCACAAACATTCATTTTTCATACAAACTTACAGTTGTATGCGAAAGTTTGAACCCCCTGTCAAATACCAGGTTTTTTCCACATGCAAAATACCTTAACAAATTCTCTACAAGGAGCAAACTGAATTAACTTAATGATATGTTTCTGCACATTTTTGTATACAATTTATACAACCCCATTTCCAAAAAAATTAGGACGCTGTGCAAAATGTTAATAAAAACAAAATGCAATGATATGCAAATCATTTAAACCCTATATGTCATTTACAATAGTGCAAAGACAACAACTCAAATGTTGAAACTGAGAAATTTCATTGTTTTTTGAAAAATATATGCCTATTTTGAATTTGATGCCAGCAACATATTCCAAAAAAGTTGGGACGGGGGCAACAAAAGGCTGGTAAAGTTGTGTAATGCTTAAAAAAAAACACCGGGTAGTTAATTGGCGACAGGTCAGTAACATGATTGGGTATAAAGGAGCATCTCAGAGAGGCGGAGTCTTTCAGAAGTAAAGATGAGGAGGGGTTCACCACTCTGTGAAAGACTGCACCATCAAATAGAGCAACAATTCAAGAATGTTTCTAAACATAAAATAGCAAAGAACTTTTGCTTTTCATCATCTACGGTACATAATATCATTAAAAGATTCAGAGAATCTGGAGAAATCTCTGTATGTATAGGACAAGGCCAAAAACCAGTATTTGCTGGCCGTGATCTTTGGGCTCTCAGGCAGCACTGCATTAAACAGACATGATTCTGTAGTGGAAATCACTGCATGGGCTCAGAAACACTTCTGAAAACCACTGTCTGTGAAAACAGTTCATCACTGCATCCACAAATGCAAGTTAAAACTCTAAAATGCAAAGAGGAAACCAACTATAAACATCTATAAAGATCCAGAAATGCTGCCACCTTCTCTGGGCACGAGCTCTTTTAAAATGGACTGAGGCCTGTGGTTCGACGAATCAACATTTAAATTTCTTTTTGGAAATCATTAATGCTGTGTCCTCCGGGCTAAAGACTACTAAGCTTGTTATCAGTGCACAGTTCAAAAGCCAGTATTCATGATGGTATTGGGGTGCATTAGTGTACATGGCATGGGTGATGTGCACATCTGTGAAGGCACCATTAATGCTGAATGATATATACATGCTTTGGCAACATATTATGCCATCCAGACGACGTCTTTTTCAGGGAAGGCCTTGCTTTTTTCAGCATTACAATGCCAAACCATCTCTGCATTAAAATGTGTAACTTATTAACACTTAGAAAATCAACAACATGGAATTTGACCAGGGGGGCAAACTTTTGCATATGGCTGTATCCAAAACACAGCGCTTCTGCAAAATATAGACTTCTTCAGCTGGTTTCACCATGTTACTAGCCCCACTTAGTGGATGTCTGTAATCAGCAGTAATGATCAGCTGGTACCTGTAATAATGTTTTAGCCCACACTGCAACACAAAGAATCCAGTGTATCCCACACATATGCACTTGTAGACATGCTACCTGCTCTGAGGTCCAGTCTCCATCATAAGGGTCCATCAGAGAGAACAGTGTGTCAATTGTGGTGATGCTCCACTTGTTGATGTCACTAACATTGGCCACACGAGATGTGGAGCCCAGTAGCTGTATTACACTCTCTGGAAGGCCTGATGGGTAGAGCTGTAACACATACACACCCTTCAAACACTTACAAACCACAACACTGTAATGGAAACACCTTGAACATATGCACACATCATCACAAAACACATATCATATTCAAATCAACACACACTGTCAGAAAGGTCGGAGAGCTGGGCCGGAAACATACTCATGCACATCAACACACTCCATAAATAAAAACATGTACACTATAGATTGTGCCTGCAACATACAGACAAACTGACCTGGTTTAATTTGTTCAGAATGATCATCTGGTAGGTGGCATCTAGCACTTTTTCAGTGATGGCTGCCAGGTTGTCATTCAGGACAGTGATGTCCAGACACAAATCAAACTGTGTAGAGTCATAGTCATAAGGGAACGCCTCATCTGCAATCGTCACTGCTGTGATGTTGCCGACAGTACAGTCTAAAGAACACACACATGCATGCATTATACACAACCATCTACACAGACCACACGTTTTCATTCACATCACAGATACAGTGGTGCCTGTTGATACCTGCAGAACGTTTGAATCTGACGGTCATGTATGCTTTAAACAATCTGCTCAGCTTCCACTTCTGGGTCTTCCTTTTTCTCAGGAATGGCAAGAATGATCTGAGATACCTTTTCCTTACAGGCTAAAACAACATGAACATACAAAAATAAATTAAAACAACACACCCTATGTCATACACAGAATGTAAACTATGACTATAGACTGGCGATGTGAAACAAAAAATATGCATAAATAAATAAACATACCGAACTAAATTGACTCCAGAAGTCTCGTTTGAGGTAGAGGGGGAGGATGCCCAGCTGCCGTAGAGTCTGCTGATTCCATGCTGAGGGATTTCTGAGAAAAAACATGAGGTGTGTTTGAGACTTCCAAACACTTCCATACACTCTATTTTTTTTGACACACATTCACAACATACTGGGGCAAATCAGACTATCAGATGTCTTTGACTGGCTCTTCCCTGAGAAAGTACTACACAAATTCTGAATTCTGAGGAATTCTAAGCAATTATTTCATTAAAACTAATAATAATGTTCATTATTCTGTGTTTATCTGTTCCCTAAAGTTTGTTTGCTCCTTGCATGGTTTTGCCAAACACTGATTTCTTGTTTTCTTTACAGGGTTAAGTTTAGACTTCATATCAAATCTAGTGGTCTCAACTGCTAACATGATAATTGTATTTTACTTTATTCATTTTGATAATGCAGAGGATTAATTGAAAACAGCATTTGCATCTATCTTACACTCAGCTGACTGCAGTGTGGCACAGTGACTACTGCAACCTTACCCTGTCAACATGGACAACAACCCTATTCTCCCCAGACCACAGTAATCTCAGATGATTACCTTGTCTCATATGGACTCAATTTTATTATATGCTCATCAACACTATTGGGTCAAGTGTATTACATCATGCTTCATAGCTAGTAGTTTTACTGAAAACTAACATAATAAATATTATAATAAAAAAAAATAATATAATAATAAATCTAAAGTAAATGCTACAGTCAATTCTGATCATTGGCTTCTTGTTTCTCAGCTCATTAGTCTGGGTATACACTCACTGAACACTTTATTAGGAACACCTCCTTGTTTCTACACTCACTGTTCATTTTATCAGCTCCCCGTACCATATAGGTGCACTTTGTTTTTCTACAGTTACAGTACGCTGAGAAACAGATGGACTACATTGCAGAACTACAAAGTGTTCCTATATGGTCAGTGGAACTGATAAAATGGACAATGACTGTACAAAGTGCTTGGTAAGTGTTTATGCTCTATCAAGTTTGTTTGTTCTCAATGCCAAGTAGTTTATCGCATGTATACGCCGAATGTTAAATGTTGCCCCTCAACAAAAAAGGTCTCAAAATGTTAAACACATATAAAGCAATCTTTAAAAGTTTCTAAATACATGTGCCAAAAGCACATTATATTAAAGTTGTTTCTCACCCATAAGGAGTGTTGCCAATGTAAAGCAGTGCCTGTATAGCATCGACCTGAGAGTCAGAAAGATCATCACAGTTCTTCAGTTTCTCCAGGATGAGTGGGTGAGAGTTCTGGATGTAGGAGGAGTCCAGTGTGCAGACCATATTGCCCAGAACCTCCACTTGATCGCTGGTCAGACCTGCACCAGATATACCCTACAAGAGCACAGATGAAGTATGAGTGTGAAACAGACTGAGAGAGTGTTAGTGTGTATGAGTTTGTGTTTCACCAGACAGGAGTGTGTTTCTTAAAACAGTTTTTTTGAATTCATGTCAGTGAATATGAATCTGAATATAAATGACTGTGTGCATGTTTTACCAAGCAGTCCCGTGCATTCTTGAACAAGATGGACTGTCTATTGAGGACGCTGGAAAGAACCGAGAAATCTGCTCCACCCAGAGCACCGAAATATGACCTGCAGTTCACCTTCTGCACCTTCTCATAGCTACAATAAACACAAAATAAAACAGATGAAATCTTCTGGTTTACAGGAAATATATTTAATGCTTTAAAGACAGGGTTAGAGAGAGAGAGACTAAGATTGACTGTGTGTGTGTGTGTGTGTGTGTGTGTGTGTGTGTGTGTGTGTTTGTTACACACCTGTAATAGAGAAGCATGTCCGAGGGGAAATCAGTGAAGGTCAGAGATGAGTCATCTTTCACATAGCGGTACATGCAGGTCAGCTGGAACACAGAAAACCCACCATTAAACCAATGTTATATCAGCTGCTCCTTCTACTTACACAATGATAATGTGGTAAATTGTCTGTCTATTCATATTGACTAACACTGAACCAAAGGGCTACAGTTGAATATTAGCCAAAATGGCTAAACTGGCACATTTACAGATGTTTATTAATGTTAATTGTCTCTGAATATCAGACTGTATGTACCTGAGACTCTTTCAGGATGACCTTGTTCCTGCCTGTACGTGGTCTACAGGCTTTCACCAGCTGTTCAACTTTCTGCAGTGGTAGATTCCTAACTGAGCTGCAGGTGAATCCCTGCAGTATCGACTCTGACAGCCTGCAGGGGGAGACACACACATACAAGCATCACACAGAGACAAACAAAGATGTAATGTACAGCCATGTATTCAATTAAAAAAAAAACAATTATAAGGAAGTTTTCAGAACCAAAAAGAAAAAAGATGAAGACTAAGCTGTGGAGTTAGTGAGGTTTAGTTTCTGAGTTTGTCAGAATCATGGTTAGCCAGAGCTGGGGTTAGTCAGGGTTAAGGTTAGTCTAGGTTAGTCAGGATCATGGTGTATATGCGTAAATATATGCATTGCAATTATGCTGTGTTTACTTCTGTATTTTGTATTTTTTTCCTTATAGGTTTTAGCACTGGCTTAGGTTTTTTGCAGCATCTTAGCTCAAGGGTAGTTTGGACTGTAACCTTTCTGTACTATCTAGGATACGTTCTCTAAGTATAACCTTATTAATATGCTGTAATGCAAATGTAAATATTATTGTAATTCATGGTTACTCAGGGTCAGGGTTAGTTAAGATAGGTCAGGGTCATTTAGGGTCAAAGTAAATCAAGATCAGTCAATTATTGTTATTATTAGCCAGGGTCAAGGTTAGTCAGGTTATTCAGGGTTAGTGTTAGTCGGGGTCAGATTTAGTCGGAGTTTGTCAGGGTTAGTCTGTGTGAGGGTTAGTGAAGGTTAGTCATGGTTAGGCACAATTGGTCAGGGATAATCAGGGTCATGGATAGTCAGGGTAGGGGTTCGTCAGTGTTAGAGTAAGGGTGAGTCAGGGTCAAGGGCAGTTTATCAGATACTGTCAGAATCAGAGTCAGTCATGGCTAGTCACGGTAAGTTGGAGTTACAAATTAACAGCTTTGAAAATACATGCATATTGCAATTCTATCGTGTTCTCTAGTTATTGAATTAGTGCAGAGTTAGACCGAGTGGCCATATCTATATCCTAGTCAAAGTTCATGCAATGTTTTGAACAGTGACTGACTGAAAAAATGAGTAAAGTACAGTTTATTTGAACAACAGCGTTTTGAACTGTGTCGAACACAGATTTACATAAATCTCTGCATGTGTGTGTGTGTGTGTGTGTGTATGAGTGTGCATGTGTGTAACTCACCCTTCTGTATCCTGAGTGGCTCTGGAAACTGCACCAAACAGCACAGCAGCCTGGTAAACAAACACAAATTCAAACAAGTAAACAAACAGGTGTGGTACATGAACTCTTGCTTTTTACAGGTTAGTATTTGGAACGTGTGCATGTGCGTGTATTATATGTTACCTGTTGTTGTCTCCAGATCTTCTTATTGATGAGTAAAACATTAATTGATTTCAAGTATACCAGTAGTACAGGTTGGATAAACGCTGCCAATGCATCTGGAACATTCTCCACCACTTTGTTCTGGTCTACAGAGACAATCTAGAATAAAGAGCAAGAGAAGAACTTTTCCTTTGCTGCGTTTTCTCATTTACAGCTTGTTTGTGTGAGCCTGTTTCCCAAGTATGGACATGTTTCTGTAAAACCTTTCTGATAGCTTCTGGTAATGACTGGGATTCTGGGAAATATTCAAGTGAATCCATTCATACATGTATATATACTTTCTATTTATTACTGGCAGAAAGGGACAGAATGTGTGTATGTGTCTACAAATAAGTACCTTCTGGACGTATGTCTGTTGTAGAATCACTGGTGCTGACAGAATGTTGGTGATGAATGTTGGATTCTGGGATATAGTCAGAAGCTGAGTGGGTGAGATGCTGGAAACTGTTGCCGAGGGAACGCCTCCAACGAGCGTGCCCAGAGTCAACAAGGAAGAGGCACTGTTGATCTGTCAATCAATAGACCATCCAATTAGAAAACTGATACATCAATTATATAAACTAGCAACATATTAAACCTGCTGTGAACAGGTTTCCCAGACAGCGAGCATATATCGGTGCGCTAGCTTGATCAGGTCGGCACCCCGCTGACTGTTTCCCACTCATGGTCCACCCTCAGACCACCAGGATTATTGTCCTGTACAAACTACAAACTCTAGTTTTTAATCTCCTCAAAGAGATTTTAAATGCACATTTTGTAAAATAAACTAAGTCAAACATTACAAACAAATGAGAGGAAAAAAAAATAAAGATTAGGCCTGATATAAAATGATTTTATAGAAAACGTCACTGACACTGAGCTAAATTAAAATTATTTACTAAACTAATTTATAGTATAACTAAAGAATGGAAATAAAAAAGTTAACTGGACTGTGGGTGGAAAATGAAGGAATGAAAAGTGGAATTTTGTCTAATACTCTGCTTAACCACCGTTGGCCTGCCCAGAAAACACTGAGCAAAACGCTAGGGGTCCAACAGCTCTGCCATTAGCGGGCCGACAGTGGCCCACTATCGTCTTGCTATCAAGGTTGTAGGGGTCTGTAATAATGTACAGAATAATGTTCCACAAAACAACAACAGCAACAACAACTTTTTCATCTTAGCACAGATTCTTTAAGCAGCATTTTCATAAAACAACAATACAAACAATATAAAGACCAGCAGCATTATATGGATGTGTGATACACACTACTAACAACAGAGGTTCACCCTGCGTTCACACAGGCAGCGACATTGCACCTCTTGTCGCCCAAATCGCTGGTTGCTCATTGCCTGTGGGCGTTTCTGAACTTGGTTGCCATGGTTTCACTGACGTCAAGCACAAATCAGATGCATTCCCGCGAAAAATATAAATCCTGGCGAGGAATCGCTTGTGTCCTTATTTTTACTTAATCCCTGTGTCTGTGCAGTCAGTCTGTGCGAAAAACGGTATGCGATCTTTGCGTTTACTGTCTATTTGCGGCAAAAGCAGCGCCGCCGTTACTCGGCGGAGATAAAGTGTGTACTACGCTGCTCAATGCTCAGTTCTTATTGGTTATCGCCACATCGCTTCACTCCTTATTTGCATAAAGTTAAACTCTGCTCAACTTCGCCGCGGCGCTGACTCCGCCCACTTCGCGTCTCCAACGTTCACGCCGCCTCCTGTCGCCGGAAATCGCAGCTCTCATTGAAAATGAATGACCTCCGGCCGCCTCACATCGCTGCCGGTGTGAATGCAGGGTAACTACCAAAGTAACCTATTGGAATGAATGTTGTTGTTGCTGTAAGAAGATCTAAGATCTTCCCTAGACAGCGGGCATATATCAGTCCACTGGCTTAATAAGGTTGGCACCCCGCTGACCGTTTGCCACTGTTGGTCCCCCCTTGGATCACCCAGATTACTGTCCTGCAGACAAGCTGTAACTATTTTTAGTTCTCCTCAAACAGATTTTAAATGCACAGAGATGTTTATTTTAGAAAATAAACTAAGACAAATATTACAAACAACTGAGAGAAAAAAAAAATGACCTGATCCCCATTCAAAAATAAACGTACTGCAGGGAGCAGAGTGCACTCACATTAAAGCCTGCACTAGTGATGCTCTGGATGATGTTGTTGACCTGACCCTGGTTCCAGCCTGTGATGATGCTGAGTATGGGCAGGGTACTGTTTATGATATTGGGGGTAGCATCTCTTATCTGGCCCTCAGTCAGACCAATGCTCTGGTTGCCGAGCAACTCGATGGTGGATGTGGATAAAGTGGGGAAGTTTGTGACTAGTGCTGTTGAAACCTGAGAGAGAAGGAAGATTGAGGGTAACTCAGCAATTCAGCGAGAGGAGAGAACAGACAACCAAACAGTTAAGTAGGGAGACAAATATGACTTGAAATATGGAAGATGACTTGCTATGTATGCCTATTTATGTTTTGATGGGCTGACTGACTACACTACATTATTGAGACATATTACCTCTAAATCAACTCCACTGCAGAATTTGTTGATGCCCTCCAGGATGATCTGGCTGTCTGAAGCTCCAAGAGACACAAACACAGAGCCAGGAGCTCCACACAAGAGCACACCTGGTAGCCTTTACACAAACACAGACAGACATAAAAGCATGCTTACACAAAAATCATTAAAAAAGAAAGAAAATCAGTTAGTGGGGGTAAATGTTTATTTATAACCACCATATTGTGTATTTTGTTAAATAGGAGGTTGAAGTTGGGATGTGTAACTGTGTACTGTAGTATTTAGTGTGTAGTGTGGTACCTGAGGGGACTGAGGTTAGGATTCTGGATGTATAACTGTGGTATTTAGTGTGTAGTGTGGTACCTGAGGGGGTTGTAGTTAGGATTCTGGATGTATAGCTGTAGTATTTAGTGTGTAGTGTGGTACCTGAGGGGGTTGTAGTTAGGATTCTGGATGTATAGCTGTGTGCCGTAGTATGTGGTGACGTTGGATGCAATTTCTGAATTGTTAAACAGCTGAAGATTCTCTGAGTTTTCCAGGAACGCACCGATCTACAGAAGACAATCAGACTCAGTAAAATATAAGATCAATATGTGTGTGACAGTGTTTGTGTTCATAAATTTTGACTGACTGATGTGTTAGCAGGATCGTTGATTTTAATTATCCACTGTGTGTGTATGTTACCTGACTGTCTGATACAAAGGACTGGAGGTCAGTGAGGGAGATGAAGGTGATGAAGAATCCAATGTTGTTAGCAAACCAGGCAGTGGAGTTCAGAAGAGGATCAGAAGAGTTATAGCAGTGGGGAGAGCCATCTGGAAGGTACCACAAAAATATATATCATATATGTGTCACATATAGACACATATATGACGTAACTATGTACTCAACAAAGGTCTAGCGTCTCCTCAGCAAAGATGAATATACAGTGAAAAAGAGAAAGAGAGAGAAATGTAGCTGTGCTTACCACTGCTGTTCAGATAAGCCTTTATAGAGCTGTACACATCAGCTGGAGTGAAATCAGTGCCCGAGTAGTTATAGCTGTTCCCCAGGACTGAGACCCTGCTCATAAAACACATAAATACAAATATTATTAGGATTTTATATATATATATATATATATATATATATATATATATATATATATATATGTTATAGGAGGTTAGGATTGTGGTTGTAAATGGGTGGTCTGTGCTGAGAGAACAGTTTAATGCTGCATTAGCCTGGCAAGCTAGACGTATGCATATTGTTAAAGATCAACCTGTAGTGTGGTGAAGAACTGCTACTTTAAGACAGTATTTTCTCACATGCAGAACAACCAATTAAACAGCATTGTTCTTGTATGACATGCTGGGGGCAGGCAATGGTGTTACAACAAGACCCACACCCGCAGAAAACAAAGTGTTGTACAAAAGCTCAGTGGGCTGTTTCAGTAACACAAAAGAATTTGAACAAATTTTGCAGGTGGAATGCTAATGAACTTTTTTCGAATGAGTGACTAATTTTTGCTCTTAAAGGTTCACTATTTTCACATCATGTAGCGATGGCAGCTGCTTGCTACTGCTAACTGGTTAACACTTAACCTGATAAACCAAAGCTTGTTTCCCATCAGACTGATAAAAACTGGTGCATTTAAGTGCAAATAGCAACTCTGGGACCTACTACAGTTCGAAAACAAAGTTGAGAGAACAGTTTGACGCTACACCAAACCAAGACTCACAGTTTCCTGTATGACAGGCAGGATGTGCCGCTAAGCTGGGTGGGGCTGATGAGCTGAGAGCTGAGGAAGGGCAGGTACTGAGCCAGTCTTACATTAAACCACTGAGCCGCCTCATCCTGAGACGAGGCGCTGAGAGCACGAGACCAAACGCACCCCAACGTCTGTCTGCCCACAGCTGCAGAGACAACCGGCTCCTGCACAGAGAAACGGAGGGAGGAAAAAGAGAGAAAGAGACAGAAAAGAGAGATTTACATATGGATCACTCCATTAAACGACTACCAGAGAGAGAAACTGAGTGAGAAACAGCAGAAATGAATGGATGAAAAAGGACACAGCTGTACCGTCTCCAGGTACTGGTTGGTGCTGTTGTAGTTGTTGAGGAGTGTGCAGAGATCTGACCCGTTCCTGACTGTGTTCGGCCCATTCAGAAACTCATACAGTTCTCTTGGAGAGATGGAGCCCAACAGCTACAGAGCAGAGAGGAGAGCACCACAGTCATTATACAGAAAGAGATATGTGGATAAACTCTCACCATCACTGACTGACAGATTTATTCATGGACTGGTTACTACTGGTATTACTGAAGGACTTACCAACTACATTTTTAACTAGCAGTATTGCTCATTGACTAGCTATATTAATGATAAATTAATTGATTAACCTACTGATAAATAGAATTACGGAATGTCTCGTATTACTGAATGATTCATTATCAGCCTTAGCTATAAGCAATATTTCTGAATGACCTCTGACTGTATTGACTGGATCATTGATTGCACATTAATTGACTAGTGTCATTACTGAATGATCCATTGATTGTACAACCAACTAATGGTATTTCTAAATGACTGAATAACTCTGTTACTGACTGGCTGTATGAGAGATTGGTTCTGTTACTAACTGACTCTAAATCTTGCATTTTCCTTTCAGCTTTAAAGTCAGCAGTACCTCTTGCTGTCGGCTGGCTGGGATGAGGGACAAAAAGGCACTCAGGTCAGGAAGTCCAAAACTGAGGAAGGAGCTCCTGAGGAAGGCATAGAAGCTCCCACCGTGATAGCAACCCAGACTATCTGGCTCTGTGGGTCACAAAACAGCAACCGAATCATCAAAACAAACGTCTCTGTGAAAAATGCATCTCAAAAACATATATTCACAAAGACACACACACATGGATACAACGATATGCCATTTGAAACACACAAAACACACACCTTGGCTGAACTGGTGCTGAAGATAGTCTTGTATGAAACTGAAGATCTGCCCAGATTGTGTCAATGAGAGGCCGCTGTACACATTATCAAATCCTTTCATGCTGGAAAAACAAAGAATGAGATTAATCAGAGATTAGAAATGGTACAGAGAATTAAAAAAAATGGAAACAAACAATAGTTTTCAAAGAAGGTGAGCACACATAGGCAGATCTAAAAGCGAAATTTGATAAAGTCAAAATATAAAAAGAGGACGAATCATAACAACATAAAAAACAAATCAGTACTTTTAATTGCATGCATGCTATAGCAGTGTTAAAAAACATGTAACCGTGACACCAAAAATATGAATCCAGTTTTCTTTAGCACTAGGGTGTACATGTAAATGCTAAAAAAAAATATTTTTATTGGGTAAGAGCTCACATTTCTCTGTATGAGTCACAGCTGACGTTCCTCGGGATAACTGACAGGGTGTTAGGACCAATCCCAGTAAGGAAGAGATGGAGATAAGTCTGGAACCACAGGGCAAAGTCCTGTGGGCTGAAGGTCGGGAATTGGGGCACCAGAGCTAGCAGTGTCATGTTTAGAATGGTTTCTGACACTGCTGGAGGAATCCTAGTTATGTTCATCTGAAAACACACAGCATTATGGGTAAGCGCTCACTTAAAATAACATTAAAAGGAATTTAACATTGAAAAAGTATGCTCCACTTCAAGTGCTCTCAGCAGCTCTAATGTTCAGTAATTGTCAGACAATTGCTAATGGACATCAACAATATCTGCCCTCATCTGACCACCTGACTATCATTTTTTTTTACAATCAAGCTGAATTTTGATTAGCATAAAAATACCTTAACACAGGGGTGCCCAATCCTTATCCTGGAGTTCTACCTCCCTGCAGAATTTATCTCCAACCCTAAATTGATACTTGATCTAGGTAATGAAGGCCATTAGAGGCATCTGAAAATTAGTGCCAGGTGTTGGATCTGAACCCTCCAGGGTGGTAGTTCCCTAGGACCAGGATTGAGCACACCTGCCTTAACATATTTGGTTTTGCAATTTCATCTTTTAGACATTTAATTTTGATAAAAATATTGCTCATTTTGTTTTGGCTTCCAACATGTTAAATATTTCTAATCCTTGAATTAGAAATGATCAGGATGATGGCTGTGGACGATCAGGGAGCCTTTTCAGTTCCTGTTTATTCCACAATACATTCATAATATTTCTCCTTTGACATGTTTCCTCTACATAAATCTTCACAGTGATACAAATTCCACTGATTTATCTACAAGCAAAAATATGGCCACCCTCAAGCACGTGCTATGACCTTGTCTGCAGATATAAAAACTGAAATCTGTTTGTTGCATAAATATTCAAGGCTCACATATTAACAACTTGTACAGCCATCATTCGGCACAGCTTTATTGTTTAGGAAACATTATCTCTCAATTCACTAGCAAATTAGCAGCAGATGGTTCAGATTGAAAAGGTGACGCCTATTGGATTGCAAATTTCAAACTGCCACAGATTTGAAATGTGACTGGGATAAGGAACTTGACTAGTATGTGGTAACACTTGCACTCTAAGCGCAGGCCATTTTTACTGTTATATCCCTAATTGAGTCAAAGCCAATTCAAAACAACAACTATCACAAATTGCTATAAAGCTGGAAAGGGAAAAAAGGCAGCATGTCCAACCAATGACAGAAATGAAGTCAGCCACAGTTTCTGTTCAAGCTGCCACTAACAAAACATTATTAAACAGCTCACTGCCCTTGAAAGAGATGGTAATGCATTTCCGGCCATGGACGGCTATGATGTACAGAATATAGAGCAAAGGCTTAGATGATTACACAGCTCTCAAAAGCGTTAGACCCTTAGGAGACTGTAAGATATTCGCTTGCAGGATTTCACTGAACTGGGCTCCATACATAAGTTGCTTTATTAAAAAAAAGACATCCATGAACATAAGAAGAAGCAGGAAAACAAATGAAGTGAAAACATTAGCGATGGTCATGTAAAAATTAAGAATATTTACAAAAAAGAGGCAAATTGTCATTGTTTAAATTTTTTGATCATCTGTGCAAGGCAAAAGAACTGAAAGCAAAAGAGTTTATAAATGTTCTTTCTAAAACTTAAAAACACTAAGGGAAAAAGTTGATAAAGAGGAAAAAAGGTGACACAAACCAATACAGTGACTTTGACAAAAGTCTGAAAGAACACATAGAGCTGCTCCTCTCCAGAGGATGAGATTATTCCCGTCATCAATTCTTTCACCAGCGTCTCATTCTCTAGAGCACCAGTTGATGGATCTAGTAGCAGCTCTGCTTTCTGTTCTGGAGAAAGCAAGTCCAGAACCACCACCTAAAGGGGATAAAAAAAGAAATTGTGTTGAAGGTAGTTTTCTATCCCAAAATCATCAACCTCCAACGCTGGGTAAACGCTCTACAAATCTAGCCTGTTACACCAATGTCAAGAAAACACAAAACAAGCACTTACCCCAGAGATATTCAATTCTTTAAGATCAGAGTAGTCTGCTGTTGTCGAGAACAGACCCAAGTTGACACTCAGCCAATCAGAATCACTCTGGATATCCTTTCTGCAAACTGTTCAAACAAGGAGCAAAAACAAAAAAAAAGGACAACGGCACAGGTTCAGGTCATATCATGAGGTCACTGCATCTAAGAAACAACGACTGCGAGACATTATGCAAATGCATGCGTGGCAGCACAAGCGTGCGGAAGGGTACCTACCTGGTGTGTTTAGCTGTGCAGCAAGATCCTTCAGGTATTTCACTAAAACCTTTGTTATGTCCTCCCTGTTGCTGGCAGTCATTTTATAGAACACAGCACTTATTCCTGAAACACTGCAAGAAAACAACATTGTCTTTGATGAGAGACAGACTTCTCCACGGTTCCTCAACCTTCTTCCCACTGCCACGTCCCTTTCATTTCTACCTTGTGTCGGTACAATATTGGATAACGCTGCAGAATCACACTTTTCAAACTACAGACTCACATCACTCGGTAGTTAGTGCAGTCGGTGTTGCTGATGGTTGTTACTAGCATCTCTGCAGTGAAACTAGGAAGGACAGGGTTCAGCTTGACCTCAAACCACTCGATCCAGTCAAGGGTTTCAAACTGTGGAAACTCAATGCTGATGATTTCAAAGGTTCGCTTCATCATCACATCTCTCACAGCAGGGATGATATCGGCAACCTGCTGAGAAACAATGCAACAGGTGGGAATGGTACTTGAGGTGAATGCCTCGGGTCAGGTCACAGATGCCACTCTACTGCAAAACTTGTTTGTGCTACGGATTTCAGATAGTGTAAGCATGTCACTTACCTCCTGTTCAGTGAGGGCTGTGAAAAACTCATCCACATTCTTGAAAGCATCGCCTTTCTCTAGTCGATCGAACACCTGGTCCATCTGACTTGTGCTGTTCAGTGCTCCAGAGGTCAGAGTTACTTCAGCTGCTTGGCTAGGGGTCAGCAGGTCCAAAGAATCTAACTGCAACATGACACACAGACCAGCGGTTAGCGCCCGGGCCTGACAGACAACGTCAAACCCACAACTCACGTACAACTGGTGCAAGCCTGATGTTACTCACGCTGGAGAAATGTATATTCAGTATTAAAAGCTCCTCCAAGCTGGCATAGGCGGAGAACTTGCCAAAGTTCTTTGCTAGCCAGTCACTGCTGCCAGAAGTGCTGGAAACACAACTGGGATCTAAAATCGTAACAGAGGAGCAAGCAACACAATCAGAACATTACAAACAAATCTTATTTCATTGCATTTAGTTGACCAGCAATCTAACTTTGGAAGATACAAGACCATAAAAGATGCTAAAGAAGAGAGGACAGTTCAGGTGTTCAAGCAACATTTCTCCAAGTACCTGATAGGTCATCTCTTGAGAGGAAAGGATAGATGAAATAAGTAAAGATGGACCATTTCTGTTCCTCTTTCATGAGTTGATCTTGCCTGCTCAGAGCCTCCACCCTAAGTTGGATGAGAAGAGATCAGATCTTGGGATGGATGCTCATGCTTTTTCTTCACAAACTTCATGCCAAAAATCACAACTGTGGTGTCCTGAAATTCTCCTGGCCATACTTACACAACTTGGTAGGTCTGACAGCTGAAGTTCTTGGAACTGAGACAGGAGAGGAAGTCTGCGGACACTGATGACAAAAATGGCCTGAGCCTTTCCTGGAACCACTTGGTGATGAAAACGGCATCCGTAAGCTGTGCATCGCTGAACATGTTGACTTTCACCTCAGCAATGGCATCAAGAACATCTGGGTCAGGCAGACTGATGGTGAGGGTCTGTAAGAGAAAGTACATATCTCAATGTACAATTACAACCAAAGCTTTCCTTTTCATTGCAGTACTACTCCTCGTTTCCTACCATGTTGGAGTACGCATCCAGGGCTTCATCCAGAGATGCTGCAAACTTCTTGAAGAAAACATTCCAAAGTGCCCTGCTGTAGTTCATGCTGCTGTCCAGATTGCATGCCAAGACTTCAGCCAGATCGCTGGAGGACAGAGCTGCAACCTTCAAACACAAGATCGTGTAAGCAAAAAGACAACTTTCTGTGGTCGCGTGACTGACAACATGCTGCGTAACAGAGATCAATGCGAAGACAGGCATGCCGCAAATGCTTCATAGAGGCCTTACTGATGAACAGGCGAGGTCAGAGATGCTGGAGTTGCAGAGCTGAGCAGAGACATTTCCAAAGGAGACTTGAGTCTGAACTGGATGACTGTGGAGAAAAAGAGTCCATTATATTACCTGTAACAGTTTTCACAAGTCCATACTTTCTGAACCTTTCAAAACACCAAGACTCACCTTCCTGCACTTTGACAAATGTGTGCTTCTGTAAAAAAAAAAAAAGAAAACTCATCAGCATTTTTGCAGCACTGGATCTGGAAGGTTAGACATTTTAAGAAAGCAACATTTCGATCACTTACCATCTACTACTGTCTTCTTGCACTGAAGAAACAATAAAAACATAGGGCGATAAAGCATGTTAGCGAACATCCATAGCTTTCTGTGCCTTAGGCCGTGTACAGTCATAAGATAATGCACATAATAACAGAATATCACTTACCACTCCAACAGGGAAGGGAGCTGTACAACCTAGGGAGGAGCAAAGAAAATACGTCATTCGGCCGATGGAAGGAAGGAAGCTAAAAAGGCACTTACCTCTTTTATGGAATATGAAATAGTCCCATACCTTTTGGCAAAGTCTGGCTCAGCATTTCTCTGCTTGATCTGAGTTCCTGTCCAAGGTCGAGTGGAAGAACTGCAAGACTCATGTCCATGCCCTTCAGACTGTGTTAAACAGAAAACATTCAGTTTCTCCATCTTTGTCCCCAACCATCTGAGCCAATAACTCTTTCAAAAATAATCCAAGAACAAGAAAAGGAATCAGTCACTCACATTGCTTTATAGGAGTCACAGCTGAGGTTTCCAGGGATCACCAGCAGCCAAATGGGTTGGAAACTGGCCAGTACAACAAACAGATTCACTTGGAACCACAACTCATATTCACTTGGTTGGAAGGTGTCAAAGTTGGGAGCCAGAGCCGTCAAAGTCATGTTCAGGATTGCGTCTCTCACAGCTGCGTTTTCAATGAAGTTGATTTGTTCCTGCAGAGGAAACGGTTCAGTGGGTTTAAGATCACTGTGGGCACTTTAATGCAAGACCACCATCTTGGTCATTTTTCAGTGTTGGCTCATGTCACGTTTACTTTTCAGAGACAAACAGCTAACCTGCTTGGTGATGCTGACAAACATCTCAAAGAACACATAGAGCTGCTCCTCTCCAGAAGATGAGATTATTCCCATCATCACTTCTTTCACCAGCGTCTCATTCTCCAGAGCACCGCTGTTTGGATCAAGTATCAGCTCTGCTTTCTGTTCTGGAGAAAGTGAGTCCAGAACCTCCACCTAAGGCGTATAAAAAGATGTTGCATTGAAGGGCATTTTTCTATCGCTTTAATTGTGGTGCCATCATTTGCTAGAAAACATCAACCTACAATGCTGGGTAAATGCTCTACAAATCTAGCCTGTTACACCAATGTCAAGAAAACACAAAACAAGCACTTTTACCCCAGAGATATTCAATTCTTTAAGATCAGAGTAGTCTGCTGTTGTCGAGAACAGACCCAAGTTGACACTCAGCCAATCAGAATCACTCTGGATATCCTTTCTGCAAACTGTTCAAACAAGGAGCAAAAACAAAAAAAGGACAACGGCACAGGTTCAGGTCATATCATGAGGTCACTGCATCTAAGAAACAACGACTGCGAGACATTATGCAAATGCATGCGTGGCAGCACAAGCGTGCGGAAGGGTACCTACCTGGTGTGTTTAGCTGTGCAGCAAGATCCTTCAGGTATTTCACTAAAACCTTTGTTATGTCCTCCCTGTTGCTGGCAGTCATTTTATAGAACACAGCACTTATTCCTGAAACACTGCAAGAAAACAACATTGTCTTTGATGAGAGACAGACTTCTCCACGGTTCCTCAACCTTCTTCCCACTGCCACGTCCCTTTCATTTCTACCTTGCGTAGGTACAATATTGGATAATGCTGCGGAACCACACTTTTCAAACTACAGACTCACATCACTCGGTAGTTAGTGCAGTCGGTGTTGTTGATGGTTGTTACTAGCATCTCTGCAGTGAAACTAGGAAGGACAGGGTTCAGCTTGACCTCAAACCACTCGATCCAGTCAAGGGTTTCAAACTGTGGAAACTCAATGCTGATGATTTCAAAGGTTCGCTTCATCATCACATCTCTCACAGCAGGGATGATATCGGCAACCTGCTGAGAAACAATGCAACAGGTGGGAATGGTACTTGAGGTGAATGCCTCGGGTCAGGTCACAGATGCCACTCTACTGCAAAACTTGTTTGTGCTACGGATTTCAGATAGTGTAAGCATGTCACTTACCTCCTGTTCAGTGAGGGCTGTGAAAAACTCATCCACATTCTTGAAAGCATCGCCTTTCTCTAGTCGATCGAACACCTGGTCCATCTGACTTGTGCTGTTCAGTGCTCCAGAGGTCAGAGTTACTTCAGCTGCTTGGCTAGGGGTCAGCAGGTCCAAAGAATCTAACTGCAACATGACACACAGACCAGCGGTTAGCGCCCGGGCCTGACAGACAACGTCAAACCCACAACTCACGTACAACTGGTGCAAGCCTGATGTTACTCACGCTGGAGAAATGTATATTCAGTATTAAAAGCTCCTCCAAGCTGGCATAGGCGGAGAACTTGCCAAAGTTCTTTGCTAGCCAGTCACTGCTGCCAGAAGTGCTGGAAACACAACTGGGATCTAAAATCGTAACAGAGGAGCAAGCAACACAATCAGAACATTACAAACAAATCTTATTTCATTGCATTTAGTTGACCAGCAATCTAACTTTGGAAGATACAAGACCATAAAAGATGCTAAAGAAGAGAGGACAGTTCAGGTGTTCAAGCAACATTTCTCCAAGTACCTGATAGGTCATCTCTTGAGAGGAAAGGATAGATGAAATAAGTAAAGATGGACCATTTCTGTTCCTCTTTCATGAGTTGATCTTGCCTGCTCAGAGCCTCCACCCTAAGTTGGATGAGAAGAGATCAGATCTTGGGATGGATGCTCATGCTTTTTCTTCACAAACTTCATGCCAAAAATCACAACTGTGGTGTCCTGAAATTCTCCTGGCCATACTTACACAACTTGGTAGGTCTGACAGCTGAAGTTCTTGGAACTGAGACAGGAGAGGAAGTCTGCGGACACTGATGACAAAAATGGCCTGAGCCTTTCCTGGAACCACTTGGTGATGAAAACGGCATCCGTAAGCTGTGCATCGCTGAACATGTTGACTTTCACCTCAGCAATGGCATCAAGAACATCTGGGTCAGGCAGACTGATGGTGAGGGTCTGTAAGAGAAAGTACATATCTCAATGTACAATTACAACCAAAGCTTTCCTTTTCATTGCAGTACTACTCCTCGTTTCCTACCATGTTGGAGTACGCATCCAGGGCTTCATCCAGAGATGCTGCAAACTTCTTGAAGAAAACATTCCAAAGTGCCCTGCTGTAGTTCATGCTGCTGTCCAGATTGCATGCCAAGACTTCAGCCAGATCGCTGGAGGACAGAGCTGCAACCTTCAAACACAAGATCGTGTAAGCAAAAAGACAACTTTCTGTGGTCGCGTGACTGACAACATGCTGCGTAACAGAGATCAATGCGAAGACAGGCATGCCGCAAATGCTTCATAGAGGCCTTACTGATGAACAGGCGAGGTCAGAGATGCTGGAGTTGCAGAGCTGAGCAGAGACATTTCCAAAGGAGACTTGAGTCTGAACTGGATGACTGTGGAGAAAAAGAGTCCATTATATTACCTGTAACAGTTTTCACAAGTCCATACTTTCTGAACCTTTCAAAACACCAAGACTCACCTTCCTGCACTTTGACAAATGTGTGCTTCTGTAAAAAAAAAAAAGAAAATTCATCAGCATTTTTGCAGCACTGGATCTGGAAGGTCAGACATTTTAAGAAAGCAACATTTCGATCACTTACCATCTACTACTGTCTTCTTGCACTGAAGAAACAATAAAAACATAGGGCGATAAAGCATGTTAGCGAACATCCATAGCTTTCTGTGCCTTAGGCCGTGTACAGTCATAAGATAATGCACATAATAACAGAATATCACTTACCACTCCAACAGGGAAGGGAGCTGTACAACCTAGGGAGGAGCAAAGAAAATACGTCATTCGGCCGATGGAAGGAAGGAAGCTAAAAAGGCACTTACCTCTTTTATGGAATATGAAATAGTCCCATACCTTTTGGCAAAGTCTGGCTCAGCATTTCTCTGCTTGATCTGAGTTCCTGTCCAAGGTCGAGTGGAAGAACTGCAAGACTCATGTCCATGCCCTTCAGACTGTGTTAAACAGAAAACATTCAGTTTCTCCATCTTTGTCCCCAACCATCTGAGCCAATAACTCTTTCAAAAATAATCCAAGAACAAGAAAAGGAATCAGTCACTCACATTGCTTTATAGGAGTCACAGCTGAGGTTTCCAGGGATCACCAGCAGCCAAATGGGTTGGAAACTGGCCAGTACAACAAACAGATTCACTTGGAACCACAACTCATATTCACTTGGTTGGAAGGTGTCAAAGTTGGGAGCCAGAGCCGTCAAAGTCATGTTCAGGATTGCGTCTCTCACAGCTGCGTTTTCAATGAAGTTGATTTGTTCCTGCAGAGGAAACGGTTCAGTGGGTTTAAGATCACTGTGGGCACTTTAATGCAAGACCACCATCTTGGTCATTTTTCAGTGTTGGCTCATGTCACGTTTACTTTTCAGAGACAAACAGCTAACCTGCTTGGTGATGCTGACAAACATCTCAAAGAACACATAGAGCTGCTCCTCTCCAGAAGATGAGATTATTCCCATCATCACTTCTTTCACCAGCGTCTCATTCTCCAGAGCACCGCTGTTTGGATCAAGTATCAGCTCTGCTTTCTGTTCTGGAGAAAGTGAGTCCAGAACCTCCACCTAAGGCGTATAAAAAGATGTTGCATTGAAGGGCATTTTTCTATCGCTTTAATTGTGGTGCCATCGTTTGCTAGAAAACATCAACCTACAATGCTGGGTAAATGCTCTACAAATCTAGCCTGTTACACCAATGTCAAGAAAACACAAAACAAGCACTTTTACCCCAGAGATATTCAATTCTTTAAGATCAGAGTAGTCTGCTGTTGTCGAGAACAGACCCAAGTTGACACTCAGCCAATCAGAATCACTCTGGATATCCTTTCTGCAAACTGTTCAAACAAGGAGCAAAAACAAAAAAAGGACAACGGCACAGGTTCAGGTCATATCATGAGGTCACTGCATCTAAGAAACAACAACTGCGAGACATAATGCAAACGCATGCGCGGCAGCACAAGCGTGCGGAAGGGTACCTACCTGGTGTGTTTAGCTGTGCAGCAAGATCCTTCAGGTATTTCACTAAAACCTTTGTTATGTCCTCCCTGTTGCTGGCAGTCATTTTATAGAACACAGCACTTATTCCTGAAACACTGCAAGAAAACAACATTGTCTTTGATGAGAGACAGACTTCTCCACGGTTCCTCAACCTTCTTCCCACTGCCACGTCCCTTTCATTTCTACCTTGCGTAGGTACAATATTGGATAACGCTGCGGAATCACACTTTTCAAACTACAGACTCACATCACTCGGTAGTTAGTGCAGTCGGTGTTGTTGATGGTTGTTACTAGCATCTCTGCAGTGAAACTAGGAAGGACAGGGTTCAGCTTGACCTCAAACCACTCGATCCAGTCAAGGGTTTCAAACTGTGGAAACTCAATGCTGATGATTTCAAAGGTTCGCTTCATCATCACATCTCTCACAGCAGGGATGATATCGGCAACCTGCTGAGAAACAATGCAACAGGTGGGAATGGTACTTGAGGTGAATGCCTCGGGTCAGGTCACAGATGCCACTCTACTGCAAAACTTGTTTGTGCTACGGATTTCAGATAGTGTAAGCATGTCACTTACCTCCTGTTCAGTGAGGGCTGTGAAAAACTCATCCACATTCTTGAAAGCATCGCCTTTCTCTAGTCGATCGAACACCTGGTCCATCTGACTTGTGCTGTTCAGTGCTCCAGAGGTCAGAGTTACTTCAGCTGCTTGGCTAGGGGTCAGCAGGTCCAAAGAATCTAACTGCAACATGACACACAGACCAGCGGTTAGCGCCCGGGCCTGACAGACAACGTCAAACCCACAACTCACGTACAACTGGTGCAAGCCTGATGTTACTCACGCTGGAGAAATGTATATTCAGTATTAAAAGCTCCTCCAAGCTGGCATAGGCGGAGAACTTGCCAAAGTTCTTTGCTAGCCAGTCACTGCTGCCAGAAGTGCTGGAAACACAACTGGGATCTAAAATCGTAACAGAGGAGCAAGCAACACAATCAGAACATTACAAACAAATCTTATTTCATTGCATTTAGTTGACCAGCAATCTAACTTTGGAAGATACAAGACCATAAAAGATGCTAAAGAAGAGAGGACAGTTCAGGTGTTCAAGCAACATTTCTCCAAGTACCTGATAGGTCATCTCTTGAGAGGAAAGGATAGATGAAATAAGTAAAGATGGACCATTTCTGTTCCTCTTTCATGAGTTGATCTTGCCTGCTCAGAGCCTCCACCCTAAGTTGGATGAGAAGAGATCAGATCTTGGGATGGATGCTCATGCTTTTTCTTCACAAACTTCATGCCAAAAATCACAACTGTGGTGTCCTGAAATTCTCCTGGCCATACTTACACAACTTGGTAGGTCTGACAGCTGAAGTTCTTGGAACTGAGACAGGAGAGGAAGTCTGCGGACACTGATGACAAAAATGGCCTGAGCCTTTCCTGGAACCACTTGGTGATGAAAACGGCATCCGTAAGCTGTGCATCGCTGAACATGTTGACTTTCACCTCAGCAATGGCATCAAGAACATCTGGGTCAGGCAGACTGATGGTGAGGGTCTGTAAGAGAAAGTACATATCTCAATGTACAATTACAACCAAAGCTTTCCTTTTCATTGCAGTACTACTCCTCGTTTCCTACCATGTTGGAGTACGCATCCAGGGCTTCATCCAGAGATGCTGCAAACTTCTTGAAGAAAACATTCCAAAGTGCCCTGCTGTAGTTCATGCTGCTGTCCAGATTGCATGCCAAGACTTCAGCCAGATCGCTGGAGGACAGAGCTGCAACCTTCAAACACAAGATCGTGTAAGCAAAAAGACAACTTTCTGTGGTCGCGTGACTGACAACATGCTGCGTAACAGAGATCAATGCGAAGACAGGCATGCCGCAAATGCTTCATAGAGGCCTTACTGATGAACAGGCGAGGTCAGAGATGCTGGAGTTGCAGAGCTGAGCAGAGACATTTCCAAAGGAGACTTGAGTCTGAACTGGATGACTGTGGAGAAAAAGAGTCCATTATATTACCTGTAACAGTTTTCACAAGTCCATACTTTCTGAACCTTTCAAAACACCAAGACTCACCTTCCTGCACTTTGACAAATGTGTGCTTCTGTAAAAAAAAAAAAAGAAAACTCATCAGCATTTTTGCAGCACTGGATCTGGAAGGTTAGACATTTTAAGAAAGCAACATTTCGATCACTTACCATCTACTACTGTCTTCTTGCACTGAAGAAACAATAAAAACATAGGGCGATAAAGCATGTTAGCGAACATCCATAGCTTTCTGTGCCTTAGGCCGTGTACAGTCATAAGATAATGCACATAATAACAGAATATCACTTACCACTCCAACAGGGAAGGGAGCTGTACAACCTAGGGAGGAGCAAAGAAAATACGTCATTCGGCCGATGGAAGGAAGGAAGCTAAAAAGGCACTTACCTCTTTTATGGAATATGAAATAGTCCCATACCTTTTGGCAAAGTCTGGCTCAGCATTTCTCTGCTTGATCTGAGTTCCTGTCCAAGGTCGAGTGGAAGAACTGCAAGACTCATGTCCATGCCCTTCAGACTGTGTTAAACAGAAAACATTCAGTTTCTCCATCTTTGTCCCCAACCATCTGAGCCAATAACTCTTTCAAAAATAATCCAAGAACAAGAAAAGGAATCAGTCACTCACATTGCTTTATAGGAGTCACAGCTGAGGTTTCCAGGGATCACCAGCAGCCAAATGGGTTGGAAACTGGCCAGTACAACAAACAGATTCACTTGGAACCACAACTCATATTCACTTGGTTGGAAGGTGTCAAAGTTGGGAGCCAGAGCCGTCAAAGTCATGTTCAGGATTGCGTCTCTCACAGCTGCGTTTTCAATGAAGTTGATTTGTTCCTGCAGAGGAAACGGTTCAGTGGGTTTAAGATCACTGTGGGCACTTTAATGCAAGACCACCATCTTGGTCATTTTTCAGTGTTGGCTCATGTCACGTTTACTTTTCAGAGACAAACAGCTAACCTGCTTGGTGATGCTGACAAACATCTCAAAGAACACATAGAGCTGCTCCTCTCCAGAAGATGAGATTATTCCCATCATCACTTCTTTCACCAGTGTCTCATTCTCCAGAGCACCGCTGTTTGGATCAAGTATCAGCTCTGCTTTCTGTTCTGGAGAAAGTGAGTCCAGAACCTCCACCTAAGGCGTATAAAAAGATGTTGCATTGAAGGGCATTTTTCTCTCGCTTTAATTGTGGTGCCATCATTTGCTAGAAAACATCAACCTACAATTCTGGGTAAATGCTCTACAAATCTAGCCTGTTACACCAATGTCAAGAAAACACAAAACAAGCACTTTTACCCCAGAGATATTCAATTCTTTAAGATCAGAGTAGTCTGCTGTTGTCGAGAACAGACCCAAGTTGACACTCAGCCAATCAGAATCACTCTGGATATCCTTTCTGCAAACTGTTCAAACAAGGAGCAAAAACAAAAAAAGGACAACGGCACAGGTTCAGGTCATACCATGAGGTCACTGCATCTAAGAAACAACAACTGCGAGACATAATGCAAACGCATGCGCGGCAGCACAAGCGTGCGGAAGGGTACCTACCTGGTGTGTTTAGCTGTGCAGCAAGATCCTTCAGGTATTTCACTAAAACCTTTGTTATGTCCTCCCTGTTGCTGGCAGTCATTTTATAGAACACAGCACTTATTCCTGAAACACTGCAAGAAAACAACATTGTCTTTGATGAGAGACAGACTTCTCCACGGTTCCTCAACCTTCTTCCCACTGCCACGTCCCTTTCATTTCTACCTTGCGTAGGTACAATATTGGATAACGCTGCGGAATCACACTTTTCAAACTACAGACTCACATCACTCGGTAGTTAGTGCAGTCGGTGTTGTTGATGGTTGTTACTAGCATCTCTGCAGTGAAACTAGGAAGGACAGGGTTCAGCTTGACCTCAAACCACTCGATCCAGTCAAGGGTTTCAAACTGTGGAAACTCAATGCTGATGATTTCAAAGGTTCGCTTCATCATCACATCTCTCACAGCAGGGATGATATCGGCAACCTGCTGAGAAACAATGCAACAGGTGGGAATGGTACTTGAGGTGAATGCCTCGGGTCAGGTCACAGATGCCACTCTACTGCAAAACTTGTTTGTGCTACGGATTTCAGATAGTGTAAGCATGTCACTTACCTCCTGTTCAGTGAGGGCTGTGAAAAACTCATCCACATTCTTGAAAGCATCGCCTTTCTCTAGTCGATCGAACACCTGGTCCATCTGACTTGTGCTGTTCAGTGCTCCAGAGGTCAGAGTTACTTCAGCTGCTTGGCTAGGGGTCAGCAGGTCCAAAGAATCTAACTGCAACATGACACACAGACCAGCGGTTAGCGCCCGGGCCTGACAGACAACGTCAAACCCACAACTCACGTACAACTGGTGCAAGCCTGATGTTACTCACGCTGGAGAAATGTATATTCAGTATTAAAAGCTCCTCCAAGCTGGCATAGGCGGAGAACTTGCCAAAGTTCTTTGCTAGCCAGTCACTGCTGCCAGAAGTGCTGGAAACACAACTGGGATCTAAAATCGTAACAGAGGAGCAAGCAACACAATCAGAACATTACAAACAAATCTTATTTCATTGCATTTAGTTGACCAGCAATCTAACTTTGGAAGATACAAGACCATAAAAGATGCTAAAGAAGAGAGGACAGTTCAGGTGTTCAAGCAACATTTCTCCAAGTACCTGATAGGTCATCTCTTGAGAGGAAGGGATAGATGAAATAAGTAAAGATGGACCATTTCTGTTCCTCTTTCAAGAGTTGATCTTGCCTGCTCAGAGCCTCCACCCTAAGTTGGATGAGAAGAGATCAGATCTTGGGATGGATGCTCATGCTTTTTCTTCACAAACTTCATGCCAAAAATCACAACTGTGGTGTCCTGAAATTCTCCTGGCCATACTTACACAACTTGGTAGGTCTGACAGCTGAAGTTCTTGGAACTGAGACAGGAGAGGAAGTCTGCGGACACTGATGACAAAAATGGCCTGAGCCTTTCCTGGAACCACTTGGTGATGAAAACGGCATCCGTAAGCTGTGCATCGCTGAACATGTTGACTTTCACCTCAGCAATGGCATCAAGAACATCTGGGTCAGGCAGACTGATGGTGAGGGTCTGTAAGAGAAAGTACATATCTCAATGTACAATTACAACCAAAGCTTTCCTTTTCATTGCAGTACTACTCCTCGTTTCCTACCATGTTGGAGTACGCATCCAGGGCTTCATCCAGAGATGCTGCAAACTTCTTGAAGAAAACATTCCAAAGTGCCCTGCTGTAGTTCATGCTGCTGTCCAGATTGCATGCCAAGACTTCAGCCAGATCGCTGGAGGACAGAGCTGCAACCTTCAAACACAAGATCGTGTAAGCAAAAAGACAACTTTCTGTGGTCGCGTGACTGACAACATGCTGCGTAACAGAGATCAATGCGAAGACAGGCATGCCGCAAATGCTTCATAGAGGCCTTACTGATGAACAGGCGAGGTCAGAGATGCTGGAGTTGCAGAGCTGAGCAGAGACATTTCCAAAGGAGACTTGAGTCTGAACTGGATGACTGTGGAGAAAAAGAGTCCATTATATTACCTGTAACAGTTTTCACAAGTCCATACTTTCTGAACCTTTCAAAACACCAAGACTCACCTTCCTGCACTTTGACAAATGTGTGCTTCTGTAAAAAGAATGAAAATTCATCAGCATTTTTGCAGCACTGGATCTGGAAGGTTAGACATTTTAAGAAAGCAACATTTCGATCACTTACCATCTACTACTGTCTTCTTGCACTGAAGAAACAATAAAAACATAGGGCGATAAAGCATGTTAGCGAACATCCATAGCTTTCTGTGCCTTAGGCCGTGTACAGTCATAAGATAATGCACATAATAACAGAATATCACTTACCACTCCAACAGGGAAGGGAGCTGTACAACCTAGGGAGGAGCAAAGAAAATACGTCATTCGGCCGATGGAAGGAAGGAAGCTAAAAAGGCACTTACCTCTTTTATGGAATATGAAATAGTCCCATACCTTTTGGCAAAGTCTGGCTCAGCATTTCTCTGCTTGATCTGAGTTCCTGTCCAAGGTCGAGTGGAAGAACTGCAAGACTCATGTCCATGCCCTTCAGACTGTGTTAAACAGAAAACATTCAGTTTCTCCATCTTTGTCCCCAACCATCTGAGCCAATAACTCTTTCAAAAATAATCCAAGAACAAGAAAAGGAATCAGTCACTCACATTGCTTTATAGGAGTCACAGCTGAGGTTTCCAGGGATCACCAGCAGCCAAATGGGTTGGAAACTGGCCAGTACAACAAACAGATTCACTTGGAACCACAACTCATATTCACTTGGTTGGAAGGTGTCAAAGTTGGGAGCTAGAGCCGTCAAAGTCATGTTCAGGATTGCGTCTCTCACAGCTGCGTTTTCAATGAAGTTGATTTGTTCCTGCAGAGGAAACGGTTCAGTGGGTTTAAGATCACTGTGGGCACTTTAATGCAAGACCACCATCTTGGTCATTTTTCAGTGTTGGCTCATGTCACGTTTACTTTTCAGAGACAAACAGCTAACCTGCTTGGTGATGCTGACAAACATCTCAAAGAACACATAGAGCTGCTCCTCTCCAGAAGATGAGATTATTCCCATCATCACTTCTTTCACCAGCGTCTCATTCTCCAGAGCACCGCTGTTTGGATCAAGTATCAGCTCTGCTTTCTGTTCTGGAGAAAGTGAGTCCAGAACCTCCACCTAAGGCGTATAAAAAGATGTTGCATTGAAGGGCATTTTTCTCTCGCTTTAATTGTGGTGCCATCATTTGCTAGAAAACATCAACCTACAATGCTGGGTAAATGCTCTACAAATCTAGCCTGTTACACCAATGTCAAGAAAACACAAAACAAGCACTTTTACCCCAGAGATATTCAATTCTTTAAGATCAGAGTAGTCTGCTGTTGTCGAGAACAGACCCAAGTTGACACTCAGCCAATCAGAATCACTCTGGATATCCTTTCTGCAAACTGTTCAAACAAGGAGCAAAAACAAAAAAAGGACAACGGCACAGGTTCAGGTCATATCATGAGGTCACTGCATCTAAGAAACAACAACTGCGAGACATAATGCAAACGCATGCGCGGCAGCACAAGCGTGCGGAAGGGTACCTACCTGGTGTGTTTAGCTGTGCAGCAAGATCCTTCAGGTATTTCACTAAAACCTTTGTTATGTCCTCCCTGTTGCTGGCAGTCATTTTATAGAACACAGCACTTATTCCTGAAACACTGCAAGAAAACAACATTGTCTTTGATGAGAGACAGACTTCTCCACGGTTCCTCAACCTTCTTCCCACTGCCACGTCCCTTTCATTTCTACCTTGCGTAGGTACAATATTGGATAATGCTGCGGAACCACACTTTTCAAACTACAGACTCACATCACTCGGTAGTTAGTGCAGTCGGTGTTGTTGATGGTTGTTACTAGCATCTCTGCAGTGAAACTAGGAAGGACAGGGTTCAGCTTGACCTCAAACCACTCGATCCAGTCAAGGGTTTCAAACTGTGGAAACTCAATGCTGATGATTTCAAAGGTTCGCTTCATCATCACATCTCTCACAGCAGGGATGATATCGGCAACCTGCTGAGAAACAATGCAACAGGTGGGAATGGTACTTGAGGTGAATGCCTCGGGTCAGGTCACAGATGCCACTCTACTGCAAAACTTGTTTGTGCTACGGATTTCAGATAGTGTAAGCATGTCACTTACCTCCTGTTCAGTGAGGGCTGTGAAAAACTCATCCACATTCTTGAAAGCATCGCCTTTCTCTAGTCGATCGAACACCTGGTCCATCTGACTTGTGCTGTTCAGTGCTCCAGAGGTCAGAGTTACTTCAGCTGCTTGGCTAGGGGTCAGCAGGTCCAAAGAATCTAACTGCAACATGACACACAGACCAGCGGTTAGCGCCCGGGCCTGACAGACAACGTCAAACCCACAACTCACGTACAACTGGTGCAAGCCTGATGTTACTCACGCTGGAGAAATGTATATTCAGTATTAAAAGCTCCTCCAAGCTGGCATAGGCGGAGAACTTGCCAAAGTTCTTTGCTAGCCAGTCACTGCTGCCAGAAGTGCTGGAAACACAACTGGGATCTAAAATCGTAACAGAGGAGCAAGCAACACAATCAGAACATTACAAACAAATCTTATTTCATTGCATTTAGTTGACCAGCAATCTAACTTTGGAAGATACAAGACCATAAAAGATGCTAAAGAAGAGAGGACAGCTCAGGTGTTCAAGCAACATTTCTCCAAGTACCTGATAGGTCATCTCTTGAGAGGAAGGGATAGATGAAATAAGTAAAGATGGACCATTTCTGTTCCTCTTTCAAGAGTTGATCTTGCCTGCTCAGAGCCTCCACCCTAAGTTGGATGAGAAGAGATCAGATCTTGGGATGGATGCTCATGCTTTTTCTTCACAAACTTCATGCCAAAAATCACAACTGTGGTGTCCTGAAATTCTCCTGGCCATACTTACACAACTTGGTAGGTCTGACAGCTGAAGTTCTTGGAACTGAGACAGGAGAGGAAGTCTGCGGACACTGATGACAAAAATGGCCTGAGCCTTTCCTGGAACCACTTGGTGATGAAAACGGCATCCGTAAGCTGTGCATCGCTGAACATGTTGACTTTCACCTCAGCAATGGCATCAAGAACATCTGGGTCAGGCAGACTGATGGTGAGGGTCTGTAAGAGAAAGTACATATCTCAATGTACAATTACAACCAAAGCTTTCCTTTTCATTGCAGTACTACTCCTCGTTTCCTACCATGTTGGAGTACGCATCCAGGGCTTCATCCAGAGATGCTGCAAACTTCTTGAAGAAAACATTCCAAAGTGCCCTGCTGTAGTTCATGCTGCTGTCCAGATTGCATGCCAAGACTTCAGCCAGATCGCTGGAGGACAGAGCTGCAACCTTCAAACACAAGATCGTGTAAGCAAAAAGACAACTTTCTGTGGTCGCGTGACTGACAACATGCTGCGTAACAGAGATCAATGCGAAGACAGGCATGCCGCAAATGCTTCATAGAGGCCTTACTGATGAACAGGCGAGGTCAGAGATGCTGGAGTTGCAGAGCTGAGCAGAGACATTTCCAAAGGAGACTTGAGTCTGAACTGGATGACTGTGGAGAAAAAGAGTCCATTATATTACCTGTAACAGTTTTCACAAGTCCATACTTTCTGAACCTTTCAAAACACCAAGACTCACCTTCCTGCACTTTGACAAATGTGTGCTTCTGTAAAAAGAAAGAAAATTCATCAGCATTTTTGCAGCACTGGATCTGGAAGGTTAGACATTTTAAGAAAGCAACATTTCGATCACTTACCATCTACTACTGTCTTCTTGCACTGAAGAAACAATAAAAACATAGGGCGATAAAGCATGTTAGCGAACATCCATAGCTTTCTGTGCCTTAGGCCGTGTACAGTCATAAGATAATGCACATAATAACAGAATATCACTTACCACTCCAACAGGGAAGGGAGCTGTACAACCTAGGGAGGAGCAAAGAAAATACGTCATTCGGCCGATGGAAGGAAGGAAGCTAAAAAGGCACTTACCTCTTTTATGGAATATGAAATAGTCCCATACCTTTTGGCAAAGTCTGGCTCAGCATTTCTCTGCTTGATCTGAGTTCCTGTCCAAGGTCGAGTGGAAGAACTGCAAGACTCATGTCCATGCCCTTCAGACTGTGTTAAACAGAAAACATTCAGTTTCTCCATCTTTGTCCCCAACCATCTGAGCCAATAACTCTTTCAAAAATAATCCAAGAACAAGAAAAGGAATCAGTCACTCACATTGCTTTATAGGAGTCACAGCTGAGGTTTCCAGGGATCACCAGCAGCCAAATGGGTTGGAAACTGGCCAGTACAACAAACAGATTCACTTGGAACCACAACTCATATTCACTTGGTTGGAAGGTGTCAAAGTTGGGAGCCAGAGCCGTCAAAGTCATGTTCAGGATTGCGTCTCTCACAGCTGCGTTTTCAATGAAGTTGATTTGTTCCTGCAGAGGAAACGGTTCAGTGGGTTTAAGATCACTGTGGGCACTTTAATGCAAGACCACCATCTTGGTCATTTTTCAGTGTTGGCTCATGTCACGTTTACTTTTCAGAGACAAACAGCTAACCTGCTTGGTGATGCTGACAAACATCTCAAAGAACACATAGAGCTGCTCCTCTCCAGAAGATGAGATTATTCCCATCATCACTTCTTTCACCAGCGTCTCATTCTCCAGAGCACCGCTGTTTGGATCAAGTATCAGCTCTGCTTTCTGTTCTGGAGAAAGTGAGTCCAGAACCTCCACCTAAGGCGTATAAAAAGATGTTGCATTGAAGGGCATTTTTCTATCGCTTTAATTGTGGTGCCATCATTTGCTAGAAAACATCAACCTACAATGCTGGGTAAATGCTCTACAAATCTAGCCTGTTACACCAATGTCAAGAAAACACAAAACAAGCACTTTTACCCCAGAGATATTCAATTCTTTAAGATCAGAGTAGTCTGCTGTTGTCGAGAACAGACCCAAGTTGACACTCAGCCAATCAGAATCACTCTGGATATCCTTTCTGCAAACTGTTCAAACAAGGAGCAAAAACAAAAAAAGGACAACGGCACAGGTTCAGGTCATATCATGAGGTCACTGCATCTAAGAAACAACAACTGCGAGACATAATGCAAACGCATGCGCGGCAGCACAAGCGTGCGGAAGGGTACCTACCTGGTGTGTTTAGCTGTGCAGCAAGATCCTTCAGGTATTTCACTAAAACCTTTGTTATGTCCTCCCTGTTGCTGGCAGTCATTTTATAGAACACAGCACTTATTCCTGAAACACTGCAAGAAAACAACATTGTCTTTGATGAGAGACAGACTTCTCCACGGTTCCTCAACCTTCTTCCCACTGCCACGTCCCTTTCATTTCTACCTTGCGTAGGTACAATATTGGATAACGCTGCGGAACCACACTTTTCAAACTACAGACTCACATCACTCGGTAGTTAGTGCAGTCGGTGTTGTTGATGGTTGTTACTAGCATCTCTGCAGTGAAACTAGGAAGGACAGGGTTCAGCTTGACCTCAAACCACTCGATCCAGTCAAGGGTTTCAAACTGTGGAAACTCAATGCTGATGATTTCAAAGGTTCGCTTCATCATCACATCTCTCACAGCAGGGATGATATCGGCAACCTGCTGAGAAACAATGCAACAGGTGGGAATGGTACTTGAGGTGAATGCCTCGGGTCAGGTCACAGATGCCACTCTACTGCAAAACTTGTTTGTGCTACGGATTTCAGATAGTGTAAGCATGTCACTTACCTCCTGTTCAGTGAGGGCTGTGAAAAACTCATCCACATTCTTGAAAGCATCGCCTTTCTCTAGTCGATCGAACACCTGGTCCATCTGACTTGTGCTGTTCAGTGCTCCAGAGGTCAGAGTTACTTCAGCTGCTTGGCTAGGGGTCAGCAGGTCCAAAGAATCTAACTGCAACATGACACACAGACCAGCGGTTAGCGCCCGGGCCTGACAGACAACGTCAAACCCACAACTCACGTACAACTGGTGCAAGCCTGATGTTACTCACGCTGGAGAAATGTATATTCAGTATTAAAAGCTCCTCCAAGCTGGCATAGGCGGAGAACTTGCCAAAGTTCTTTGCTAGCCAGTCACTGCTGCCAGAAGTGCTGGAAACACAACTGGGATCTAAAATCGTAACAGAGGAGCAAGCAACACAATCAGAACATTACAAACAAATCTTATTTCATTGCATTTAGTTGACCAGCAATCTAACTTTGGAAGATACAAGACCATAAAAGATGCTAAAGAAGAGAGGACAGTTCAGGTGTTCAAGCAACATTTCTCCAAGTACCTGATAGGTCATCTCTTGAGAGGAAAGGATAGATGAAATAAGTAAAGATGGACCATTTCTGTTCCTCTTTCATGAGTTGATCTTGCCTGCTCAGAGCCTCCACCCTAAGTTGGATGAGAAGAGATCAGATCTTGGGATGGATGCTCATGCTTTTTCTTCACAAACTTCATGCCAAAAATCACAACTGTGGTGTCCTGAAATTCTCCTGGCCATACTTACACAACTTGGTAGGTCTGACAGCTGAAGTTCTTGGAACTGAGACAGGAGAGGAAGTCTGCGGACACTGATGACAAAAATGGCCTGAGCCTTTCCTGGAACCACTTGGTGATGAAAACGGCATCCGTAAGCTGTGCATCGCTGAACATGTTGACTTTCACCTCAGCAATGGCATCAAGAACATCTGGGTCAGGCAGACTGATGGTGAGGGTCTGTAAGAGAAAGTACATATCTCAATGTACAATTACAACCAAAGCTTTCCTTTTCATTGCAGTACTACTCCTCGTTTCCTACCATGTTGGAGTACGCATCCAGGGCTTCATCCAGAGATGCTGCAAACTTCTTGAAGAAAACATTCCAAAGTGCCCTGCTGTAGTTCATGCTGCTGTCCAGATTGCATGCCAAGACTTCAGCCAGATCGCTGGAGGACAGAGCTGCAACCTTCAAACACAAGATCGTGTAAGCAAAAAGACAACTTTCTGTGGTCGCGTGACTGACAACATGCTGCGTAACAGAGATCAATGCGAAGACAGGCATGCCGCAAATGCTTCATAGAGGCCTTACTGATGAACAGGCGAGGTCAGAGATGCTGGAGTTGCAGAGCTGAGCAGAGACATTTCCAAAGGAGACTTGAGTCTGAACTGGATGACTGTGGAGAAAAAGAGTCCATTATATTACCTGTAACAGTTTTCACAAGTCCATACTTTCTGAACCTTTCAAAACACCAAGACTCACCTTCCTGCACTTTGACAAATGTGTGCTTCTGTAAAAAAAAAAAAGAAAATTCATCAGCATTTTTGCAGCACTGGATCTGGAAGGTCAGACATTTTAAGAAAGCAACATTTCGATCACTTACCATCTACTACTGTCTTCTTGCACTGAAGAAACAATAAAAACATAGGGCGATAAAGCATGTTAGCGAACATCCATAGCTTTCTGTGCCTTAGGCCGTGTACAGTCATAAGATAATGCACATAATAACAGAATATCACTTACCACTCCAACAGGGAAGGGAGCTGTACAACCTAGGGAGGAGCAAAGAAAATACGTCATTCGGCCGATGGAAGGAAGGAAGCTAAAAAGGCACTTACCTCTTTTATGGAATATGAAATAGTCCCATACCTTTTGGCAAAGTCTGGCTCAGCATTTCTCTGCTTGATCTGAGTTCCTGTCCAAGGTCGAGTGGAAGAACTGCAAGACTCATGTCCATGCCCTTCAGACTGTGTTAAACAGAAAACATTCAGTTTCTCCATCTTTGTCCCCAACCATCTGAGCCAATAACTCTTTCAAAAATAATCCAAGAACAAGAAAAGGAATCAGTCACTCACATTGCTTTATAGGAGTCACAGCTGAGGTTTCCAGGGATCACCAGCAGCCAAATGGGTTGGAAACTGGCCAGTACAACAAACAGATTCACTTGGAACCACAACTCATATTCACTTGGTTGGAAGGTGTCAAAGTTGGGAGCCAGAGCCGTCAAAGTCATGTTCAGGATTGCGTCTCTCACAGCTGCGTTTTCAATGAAGTTGATTTGTTCCTGCAGAGGAAACGGTTCAGTGGGTTTAAGATCACTGTGGGCACTTTAATGCAAGACCACCATCTTGGTCATTTTTCAGTGTTGGCTCATGTCACGTTTACTTTTCAGAGACAAACAGCTAACCTGCTTGGTGATGCTGACAAACATCTCAAAGAACACATAGAGCTGCTCCTCTCCAGAAGATGAGATTATTCCCATCATCACTTCTTTCACCAGCGTCTCATTCTCCAGAGCACCGCTGTTTGGATCAAGTATCAGCTCTGCTTTCTGTTCTGGAGAAAGTGAGTCCAGAACCTCCACCTAAGGCGTATAAAAAGATGTTGCATTGAAGGGCATTTTTCTATCGCTTTAATTGTGGTGCCATCATTTGCTAGAAAACATCAACCTACAATGCTGGGTAAATGCTCTACAAATCTAGCCTGTTACACCAATGTCAAGAAAACACAAAACAAGCACTTTTACCCCAGAGATATTCAATTCTTTAAGATCAGAGTAGTCTGCTGTTGTCGAGAACAGACCCAAGTTGACACTCAGCCAATCAGAATCACTCTGGATATCCTTTCTGCAAACTGTTCAAACAAGGAGCAAAAACAAAAAAAGGACAACGGCACAGGTTCAGGTCATATCATGAGGTCACTGCATCTAAGAAACAACAACTGCGAGACATAATGCAAACGCATGCGCGGCAGCACAAGCGTGCGGAAGGGTACCTACCTGGTGTGTTTAGCTGTGCAGCAAGATCCTTCAGGTATTTCACTAAAACCTTTGTTATGTCCTCCCTGTTGCTGGCAGTCATTTTATAGAACACAGCACTTATTCCTGAAACACTGCAAGAAAACAACATTGTCTTTGATGAGAGACAGACTTCTCCACGGTTCCTCAACCTTCTTCCCACTGCCACGTCCCTTTCATTTCTACCTTGCGTAGGTACAATATTGGATAACGCTGCGGAATCACACTTTTCAAACTACAGACTCACATCACTCGGTAGTTAGTGCAGTCGGTGTTGTTGATGGTTGTTACTAGCATCTCTGCAGTGAAACTAGGAAGGACAGGGTTCAGCTTGACCTCAAACCACTCGATCCAGTCAAGGGTTTCAAACTGTGGAAACTCAATGCTGATGATTTCAAAGGTTCGCTTCATCATCACATCTCTCACAGCAGGGATGATATCGGCAACCTGCTGAGAAACAATGCAACAGGTGGGAATGGTACTTGAGGTGAATGCCTCGGGTCAGGTCACAGATGCCACTCTACTGCAAAACTTGTTTGTGCTACGGATTTCAGATAGTGTAAGCATGTCACTTACCTCCTGTTCAGTGAGGGCTGTGAAAAACTCATCCACATTCTTGAAAGCATCGCCTTTCTCTAGTCGATCGAACACCTGGTCCATCTGACTTGTGCTGTTCAGTGCTCCAGAGGTCAGAGTTACTTCAGCTGCTTGGCTAGGGGTCAGCAGGTCCAAAGAATCTAACTGCAACATGACACACAGACCAGCGGTTAGCGCCCGGGCCTGACAGACAACGTCAAACCCACAACTCACGTACAACTGGTGCAAGCCTGATGTTACTCACGCTGGAGAAATGTATATTCAGTATTAAAAGCTCCTCCAAGCTGGCATAGGCGGAGAACTTGCCAAAGTTCTTTGCTAGCCAGTCACTGCTGCCAGAAGTGCTGGAAACACAACTGGGATCTAAAATCGTAACAGAGGAGCAAGCAACACAATCAGAACATTACAAACAAATCTTATTTCATTGCATTTAGTTGACCAGCAATCTAACTTTGGAAGATACAAGACCATAAAAGATGCTAAAGAAGAGAGGACAGTTCAGGTGTTCAAGCAACATTTCTCCAAGTACCTGATAGGTCATCTCTTGAGAGGAAAGGATAGATGAAATAAGTAAAGATGGACCATTTCTGTTCCTCTTTCATGAGTTGATCTTGCCTGCTCAGAGCCTCCACCCTAAGTTGGATGAGAAGAGATCAGATCTTGGGATGGATGCTCATGCTTTTTCTTCACAAACTTCATGCCAAAAATCACAACTGTGGTGTCCTGAAATTCTCCTGGCCATACTTACACAACTTGGTAGGTCTGACAGCTGAAGTTCTTGGAACTGAGACAGGAGAGGAAGTCTGCGGACACTGATGACAAAAATGGCCTGAGCCTTTCCTGGAACCACTTGGTGATGAAAACGGCATCCGTAAGCTGTGCATCGCTGAACATGTTGACTTTCACCTCAGCAATGGCATCAAGAACATCTGGGTCAGGCAGACTGATGGTGAGGGTCTGTAAGAGAAAGTACATATCTCAATGTACAATTACAACCAAAGCTTTCCTTTTCATTGCAGTACTACTCCTCGTTTCCTACCATGTTGGAGTACGCATCCAGGGCTTCATCCAGAGATGCTGCAAACTTCTTGAAGAAAACATTCCAAAGTGCCCTGCTGTAGTTCATGCTGCTGTCCAGATTGCATGCCAAGACTTCAGCCAGATCGCTGGAGGACAGAGCTGCAACCTTCAAACACAAGATCGTGTAAGCAAAAAGACAACTTTCTGTGGTCGCGTGACTGACAACATGCTGCGTAACAGAGATCAATGCGAAGACAGGCATGCCGCAAATGCTTCATAGAGGCCTTACTGATGAACAGGCGAGGTCAGAGATGCTGGAGTTGCAGAGCTGAGCAGAGACATTTCCAAAGGAGACTTGAGTCTGAACTGGATGACTGTGGAGAAAAAGAGTCCATTATATTACCTGTAACAGTTTTCACAAGTCCATACTTTCTGAACCTTTCAAAACACCAAGACTCACCTTCCTGCACTTTGACAAATGTGTGCTTCTGTAAAAAGAATGAAAATTCATCAGCATTTTTGCAACACTGGATTTGGAAGGTTAGACATTTTAAGAAAGCAACATTTCGATCACTTACCATCTACTACTGTCTTCTTGCACTGAAGAAACAATAAAAACATAGGGCGATAAAGCATGTTAGCGAACATCCATAGCTTTCTGTGCCTTAGGCCGTGTACAGTCATAAGATAATGCACATAATAACAGAATATCACTTACCACTCCAACAGGGAAGGGAGCTGTACAACCTAGGGAGGAGCAAAGAAAATACGTCATTCGGCCGATGGAAGGAAGGAAGCTAAAAAGGCACTTACCTCTTTTATGGAATATGAAATAGTCCCATACCTTTTGGCAAAGTCTGGCTCAGCATTTCTCTGCTTGATCTGAGTTCCTGTCCAAGGTCGAGTGGAAGAACTGCAAGACTCATGTCCATGCCCTTCAGACTGTGTTAAACAGAAAACATTCAGTTTCTCCATCTTTGTCCCCAACCATCTGAGCCAATAACTCTTTCAAAAATAATCCAAGAACAAGAAAAGGAATCAGTCACTCACATTGCTTTATAGGAGTCACAGCTGAGGTTTCCAGGGATCACCAGCAGCCAAATGGGTTGGAAACTGGCCAGTACAACAAACAGATTCACTTGGAACCACAACTCATATTCACTTGGTTGGAAGGTGTCAAAGTTGGGAGCTAGAGCCGTCAAAGTCATGTTCAGGATTGCGTCTCTCACAGCTGCGCTTTCAATGAAGTTGATTTGTTCCTGCAGAGGAAACAGTTCAGTGGGTTTAAGATCCCTGTGGGCACTTTAATGCAAGACCGCCATCTTGATCAGTTTTCAGTGTTGGCTCATGTCACGTTTACTTTTCAGAGACAAACAGCTTACCTGCTTGGTGATGCTGACAAACATCTCAAAGAACACATAGAGCTGCTCCTCTCCAGAAGATGAGATTATTCCCATCATCACTTCTTTCACCAGCGTCTCATTCTCCAGAGCGCCACTGGATGGATCAAGTATCAGCTCTGCTTTCTGCTTTGGAGAAAGCGAATCCAGATCCTCCAACTCAAGGAAATAAAGAAAAGAAACAAAAGGTATTTCGTTTTCCTTTCATTTCAGTGCTTTCTTTTGACAGAAAACACCAGTCTCCAGTGCTAGATTAACGCTGCATAATTTCAATTTCAAATGCAACGTTTTTTAGTTTCCATGTTCAGAGCTACAAACAAAAAAGAAAAACAAGAACATTTTCTCACCATTGAGAAATTTCCATGAAGATTTTTCAAGTCATTCAACGTGGCGAAGATTGAGAAATTGCCTAAGTTGTTTTTCATCCAGTTTTTACTGTTCATGCTACCAGCAATACAGCCTTTTGGATAAAAATTTAATATGTAAGTAAAATTTACATATTCATTTAAAATATAAATTTTATATAACATGCTGCATTGTGTTTTAAATGTCTATTCAGTACAAAGCAAGAATTGTGCATGTTTTAAATTTTTGGCAAAAAAATTATTGACACCTGATTTTCTGGAGAGGAATGGGATGATGAAATGAGTGTAAAAGGACATTTGTAGCTCATTTCTCATTAGAGTGATTTGCTGGCTTAATCTTTTCACCCTGTAATACATAAGAACATGAATTAGTTTTGCAGATTATGGATTATATAGAATATGTGCTTTTGGTGTATTATAGGTTTGTGATTTCTTTTTCTTTTGGTTTTGTTCTTGTTTTATACTCTTTATGTCGATTAAACATTCCCCTGTAGATAGTTAAATGCTAAAACTTTGACCCTTTTGTGATACTTTGCAGGCCTTTTGCCACAAAGAATAGTTTACAAAACAATATCTTTCTTTCATGTCACCAAGGATACACTTCTTTCAGAAATCTGCAGTGATTTTTCAGTGATTTTCCCTGAATCTTCTACCTAACTTTGAAATTGAGTTTGAAAAACATTGGACATGCCCCTCCCCAAAAACCTAACCCCAATGCAAATCAAGTGTGTATGTGCTTGTTTGTATGTATAGTTACATATGCTTACATTTCCTGGTAACTTTCACAGGTGAACTCCTTTTTGCTCAGCTCTGACATGAAGGTGCCATTGATGATTGGAAGGAGTGGAAGGAGCCTAATACAAACCCACATCTGAATGAATTCAACACTCTTCAGATTTTCTGGACTCAGAGTGTCTAAAGCTCCAGTCATGGAAGCAATATCACCTGTTGATGGAGTCTCACCCTGCAACAGAAATAAACTTAAAGCATTATTTATATTGAACAGAAGACAGGAGTTGAGACTGACTTGACAGGTCACGGTTAATGACCATTGTAATGCTTGCAGAGGAATTCATTATTTCTTTCTTTTTTTGTCAACTGTCTCACCACCACTTCTCGTGCCCTGGGTTGTATAGGTTTCCCCTGTGACACCAAATCTTTACATGCTGAAAATTACTCCATAGGACAGCTGAATATGGACTGGGTAATGTGCTAACTGCTCTGTTCTGTGTACATGACATACATGACAAATTCACTCACATTGCTCTTTATCAACATGGAGAAAGTAACTGAGCTGTCCTGCATGCCCAATGAGAGTAAGGCCAAAGGTGCAGCTGAGTTACATGAGAGCCCCACGTTTAAAGTCTGTGTAAAGTAAAATCTCGCAGCCACCATCGGGGCCCGGGGGACGGGCGCATGCCACAACCATAAATTATCTAGCACTGAATAGTGGAGAAAGTTTTTCAATGTTTTTCAATATATCTCGGTTTGGGATTGTGTTTGTGTTTGAAATCATGACTCGATGATGCACTGGAGCATGACGCCTCCTCTAACACTATAATCCTATAAAAACCAGAGCGCATTAGCATCAGTGGTTCTCCCAGCTTTATTTGGCTAGATTATGTTAGTCAGTAATACTTGTTGCTAACTTGCATAAATGGAAGGAAAAAAAAATACCATTCTGTTGCAGGCTGCTAGCACTGCTAGTGGTTTCATTTCAACCCAAGAGAGGCTTTGCTGCTCACCCTAGCGAGCTAATGGATATGCTAACGTTAGTACGAAGCTGAAACTGGCTTTCTATCCACCAGCGTCTTGTTCAGACTTTTTCGTTCTACCTTAAACAGTGCAGCAGTTACATGCTGGCAAACATGAAAGTTGAATCAGCTTTATTATTGAATTTTCCCGTTCCATCTTAAATGGTGCAGCAGTTTCACTCTGGTGAACACAAAGCTGAAGAGGGGCTGCAATTTTCCTGCAAGAGAGCGTGGCTCTTCAGTGGACACACACCCAGCGTTTCAGAGCAGAGATTACTGCTTATTTTTTTATCATTTTTTATACTTGACATTTTTCTGTGATGCGACACACAGAACATGTTTATTTCTGCTTTACACAGACTTTAATTACAAACAGGCTGAAGCGAGAGACCAGGTTTGCAAAGGTTCTAAGCACTGTGACATTAGTAAGCGGCAAGCAATAAGAAACAAGGACACAGTGACACTGATGCAAAGCACTGCTCGTATGAAATACAGCTACTTGAGTGCAAATAGCTTCATCTTTTGGAGATTCTTCATGAATGAGTGAGTGCATGAGTTAAAAGATCAATGAAGTCAATGAAGTCTAAATAAAAAAAGCTAGTAAATGTGTTAAGTCAGTGACCCCAGTGGCAAATTGCAGATACAGATCATTTCACATGCTGTTGAAAGAATAGGTAGTCTTGAATGTTTTCTTACAAGTTGAACAAGGACTTTTATTGTTGAAGTAATGATCTGCCCAAGTTCTTTTTGGAGGATGGAGAGTTTTTCACGGGGGAAGCTAGCAGTGTTTGCTGTCATGCACTGTAAATGGCCTGTGATACTGTCCACTGCATTTAGAATCTAAACATAAAAACACACAAATTAAACAACTGCAGGTTTTAATGTGACATATGGTGCTCACTTTGAAGTTTCTGCTCTGCTTGACAGAATGATAACGGAACAGTAACATCCTTCTTCACTTCTCAGGCAAACATCAAACAAACAATACAAAGCTAACAGAAAACCGATGTAGATCCTGAAGGCGAGCAGTCCAAGTCTACTGAAATATTCTTCTTGCGATAAAGATGAAAATTCACTCTTGATTCATGTGACTATAAGAATGCATGTGTAGACAGACTTAAAAAATAATGATCGTAAAATTAACATGACCATGTTACAGTGGGGTTTCAACTGTGATTCTGGTAGCTTTGACAAGAACAAGGTTGTGTTCTATATTGCTATAATAAGGAACTGTTTTAAATTGAACCATTTCAGAAAGTTGTAAGTTGTGTTATTCTCACTTCACCACTAGATGATGTTATTTAGCAGCTTATTCTAAAATATTAGTTGACCTAACTTTAGTCTTCATATGTTGAATATCACTCCTGCCAGTTATACCACCATAGTGTTCTGTGTGTGTTTATGCATCTGTGTGTATATGTGAGAGACATCTTACCCAAGAGCTGGCATAGGTCACATTCGAAGGACTGCAAGTAACTTGAGTCAAATTGGTGGTGGTGGAATTGGTGGTGGTTCTGTTTTAATTAGAATTTTTTTTTTCATTTTAGAAAAATCTGTATGCATAACATAAAAGGAAAAATAATGCAAAATAAAATGTGCAATTGAAAAACACACACCCATTGTACAGACTGCATGGTTCCATTGTTGTTGCTGAGGTGGGGGTAAATTAACATTTTATTAATATTTCTACAGCACAATACAATACCTTAGTAAATATTCCTTAGTACATATGACAGTCCCTTACACCATCAATGATTTCTTACACATTATACAATAATCAATAAACCCAGCATACAGGAATTATAACAGGTTCAGCAGTATTAGCAGCTTTAGTAAATGTTTAACTACTCTTACCATTGAGTTGAGTTGAATTGCACTGAAAGAAAGTACAACAAAAATATGACACTTGCACAGGTTGCCTCTGCTCATTCATTTATTCTTTATGTTATATAAATAAACATACAACAACAGTGATTCATATGTTTATGTAAGTTTTATTGTCATGCTTGCAGAATGTCTTGCATGCTTTGGTTCAGTGATGACCAAACTTACTCCCGGAGATCTCCAACCCAAAGCAACCCCACTTAATCTACTACCCTACTAAGCCCTTGATTAACTCAGTGAGGTGTGTTAGATTTGGGTTGGAGGTAAAACGTGCAGGACGACAGATGTCGAGGAGGAGGATGGGTGACCACTGATTTAGATTGAAAATTTGTTGTATAGTTTTGGAGTTTGAAGTTGTCCTATTTCTTATTTTGGCAAGCAAAGTTGTTCTTTATAACGCCCTCTCTGTGGCCTTACTGCGGTGACAACTACATAAATGCAGTTTCAGCAATGGCCTACTGTCCAAAATTCCTTGAAATACAAGAGAGGAGCAATCAGAGCGGATGGTTTTGTTTACAGCTGTGTAGCCAACATAGCTGAGAGGAAGACATGCAGATATTAACCATTAGAAACCTAAAATTTCAGGGAATTTTTTGGGTCAATTACAATTATAATTGCACTTATAAAGTATTTACATGTGACAGTTACACATGCCATATGTTGTTATTTTCAGGAGACCCTGGGTTACTCAGATATGCCATTGTTTGACATGTAAATGCTAACAGAAATTTGATATCTTTATGAATTTGGGTAATTTCTGATCAAAAATGTACCTAGTGCCTGCTAAATTTTGTATTTTCTTAATTATAGAGATCTTGAAAACAAGTGGAATTGTAGTTATCTTTTCAGAAATTGTTAGTCTGGAGTGTCTTTTGATGGTGATTCATTCTGTTGGTTATTATGAGTAAAAAAAACAATTAGCAAAGGCGGACATGTTTTTTATTGATTTTCTGTCCTCTTGTATTCATGCTTAGTGCTAAAACACAGCAAGACAGGCTTTATTTTTAATTACAAATTGAGTTGCATATTTAATATCAGATACTTTTAATACTCAAAATCAATGTAAACTGAAAGCCCTTTGTTTATAATATGAAGGCTAAAAGCAGAGATATAACAGTAGCGAGTGGATGGTGAGGCAGAGTCTGATGACTGATTTGATGTGTAAATCATGTTTTAACCCTTTGTTGGAATATGAAGGCCAAACAGCAGAGCAATAATATCAGGATTTTATGTGATTTTCCGAGCCAAATTTACTCACTGATGCTTGTTAGGCGCGGGTCTGCTGAATGTCCTGATATGTGGATCATGTTTGTATCTTAAACCATTCTGAAGTTATGAAGGCTAGAAGTGACCTACCATTCTGCCCGCAAATTGCGGTCTCCGGGTTAATTTAACTAAATTTGCTGCGCTTCATTATACTTGAAATCTGGCATGAGCCACTGCTGACAAGCAAATTAGCTCACTTAAAACCACAAGTATAGGAGCACAAAGAACTCAACTAAGTCGGACGTAGAAGCTGGCCAACAAGCTGTGTCGCAAGCTAGCGATGCTAACTCTTCAGCAAGTTCGAACCTGCTTGACTCTGGGCTTCGTCAGGTGATAAAGGAAATCACAGACAATCTTTCCAAAGTGATAGATGAAAAACTTGGACCTTTATCACAAGTGCTTCAGATTCATGGAGAGACACTGAATGCTCATGAAAAGCGCCTTACCGAAGCTGAAGCCAGAGTGTCAGCGGTGGAAGATGCTGTCACCCCGGCAGAAAAACGATTGAAAGCGCTGGAGAAACAGGTGCGCAAAATGGCCGAACACATTGATGACTTAGAAAACAGAGGGAGAAAAAAGAACATTCGTATTATCGTGTTCCGGAGGAGGTGGAGGGAGACCAGCCAGTTAAGTTCTTCGAGGCATGGCTTTTAGATCTCTTGAATATTGAAACGGCGATAGGGAACATAAAGATAGAACGAGCCCATCGGACAGTGGCTCCCAAGCCCAACTCGATTCAGCGCCCGCGTCCTGTCCTCGTAAGGTTTCACAACTACACTGACAAGCAGCGTGTGATGGATGGATGATGCAAGGAAGATTGGAAGCAGTGGACACAAGCTCATGTACGTAAATTCGAGGGTATTCATCTTTCACGATTTTTCAGCTGCTACTCTATGTAAGCGCAAGCGATTTGACGAGGTGAAGAAACGGTTCAGGGCCGTGGGCGCAACTTACATGCATCTCTATCCCGCTTCACTTAAAGTGGTGCATGATGGCCTTTCCAAAGTGTTCGATGATCTGGCTGAGGTTGAGAAATTTATGGTTTCCTTGAATCAGCTACCGACGTCTCAGCAGGTTGAGTGAGTCATTACCCAACAGTAAATAACTGAGCTCGTTCATTTCTCTGTTTAGCAAGTGTGCATTGCTTGTATTACTTTTATGATTACTTTTTGAACATGTGTTGGAGAAATGGACAGTCAACTTTAATGCTGGAGCTTGGACTTTAGTGCCTCTGCTGTCTTTCCTGTGGAGTTCCATGATAAGAGACGTTACTGTGACCCTTATGTTTGCCTATAGGGCTAGCTCTCAAGGTAGAGTGCAGGTTTATATGTATTATAGTTGTGTGTTCGTTGTTATTTCCCAGCTTATTTTTATTTTGAAATACGTTATGCTGGCTTACAG